TCGTCATTCAGTTAGTTAGAAGATGCTAACAGTTCTACGCTTGTGGAATTGTGCTTTCTGTATAGCCGCTTATTAATACGAGTTGTTTCTTTTCAATTAGTAATAAAGCATAATAGCTCTTCTAGCTAGCAGCCTAGCACCATAACAATTGTACGGTACTACAGAATTTGCATTTCATATAATTGCATTTTACACTGCGGGCAACACCAACAAAGTTTCCACAACAAGGTCCACATGTGCAAGGAATTATAATTGTCAAAAAGTAATGTTATATAAATATATGTAGTACTTCCTCAAATATTCTACAGGAAACTGCCACATCAAAGTAGTCGAACGCGGTATACATTCACTACTACAGAACTTGACATCGTGAACAGTCTATCCGTGTCAGGGCCTTACGAACCGTCACATCCCTATCTGACCAGATTAAACAACGACACATAAACACCCTTGCAGACAATTTCCATAGGCCTTTAGGCTGGGCCCATCACTAATGACACTCATAAGTGACGGGGAGAGGTTATCGCCCAACAAAGATAATCATTGACGGGCCACAACCTAACGCCATCACCGATGAGTGTCATCGTTGGCGAGCCCAACAATAGGCCCGACAAAGATATATGTTAAACTCTGTCACCGATGAGTACGGTTTTTTGCGATCCCTAGTTATTGACTGTTATCGATATTACACACTATAAATACCCCAACCAATTCGTGGAATGGTTATCCCAACCAAACGTACTGGTCACATTTGTGGTGAGACGTGTAGGTGGGCAAATTTTGCCTTTTTTAAAAAAAAAGAAAAACAGAAAATATAGAAAAAGTCTACTAATGTATGGAAAAAATAAATCATCCCTACAAATTTTGTAATACATGTCATTTAAAAATCATATCTAATATTTGTTCACTTTTGTAGCCATGGACCGATATTAGATGTACGAAATTGATCGACATAGCAAAGAGTATAGAAGTGGCATTGCAAATTTTATAAACGTGGCGGAGAAGAGGAAAAGAAGGAACAATGATGACATGACTTGTGATGACACGACTTGTCCATGTCCAGATTGCAAAAATGAGAAGATGTTGATAGCAGAGTAGATATATACTGTCATATGATACGTCAAGGATTCGTGAAGGGCTACACATGTTGGACGAAGCATGCAGAGCAAGAATCAATCAATATTGCAGATGCAGCGAGTAGTGGTCAAAATCAGAAAGAAGATGAAGCTGACATGTTTGTTCCTTCTCTGTTGGGCGGTGAAATGGTTGATGTCAATCACGATCTTCTACAAGCAATATTGCATGATGTTGAGGAGTCAGCTCGATGGGCTGTCGTGCCTTCGGGCCGACCCGGCACGGCTCGAGTCTTATTGGGTTGTGCCTGGACCGTGTGTGCAGCCTGTGGGCTGGCACGGCACCACCCGAAATGTAGGTCGGGTCGTGCCGCCCTGACTGACCTCGGCCCAAGCACGGCCGTGCCTGGCCGTACCGGGCCGGGCGGCCCATTTGGCCATCTATATACCGTGGCGCGTGTTTTATAAATTATTATGGGTGAATAGCTAAAGTGGTCTCCAAGTTTCATCTGAGACTCAGTTTAGTCCTTGATATTTCAATCTATCCATATTAGCCCTTATCCTTGAACTTATCCTTGAACCTACTTAGAAGCCACATGGCTAAACATAACTAATAACTCTCTTGATAAATGACACTTATACCCCCTCATTCACATGTATAAAAGAAAAAATTGCATGCAATGAATTTTTTTATAGATAATGTATAGTAATTTACATAAAACGAAAATAAGTTATGTACTTGCAAGTGTATACGATAGCCATTGCTTAAGTTTCATGTGCACATGTTGAAATAATATAAAATACATCTGCAATGTTGTTTATTCATCTTGGTTTTCTCTTTTCTATTGTATAGTTGTATACAAATGAAGGGCAAAAGGGATATTTTGCAATAGAAATTTTGACTAGAAATAGCCATATGGCATATTAAGTGGATCCAAGGACGATTTTAAGCCAAAACAAATACTTAGAGGACTTATGTGGACAAAATGAAACCTGGAGGACCAAATTAAGCCTTCGTGAAATTTGAGAGACTAAATTAGCTATTCGCCCAATTTTTATTAGGATGCTTACTTATTTCCTACAAGGGAGACGTGTTGGTTCATGACTAAATAGTATTTTGTTGGAGAAAATGTGCAACTTTGGTGCACATGACGATAATTGATCAATTTCTACCAATTATAGTTTGCTATAAGGCAAAATCTAAACCGAGAGGCTTCTCGGTTTAGTGTTAACCAGCGACGAACGAATTGTGAGAAGAAGTACTGCTACATGTGCTGACGTCCATACTTGTTTTTCCTCTTAGACATGCATGTCTTTTTCTTCCTTCTTATAAAGTTTTCTCTCAAATTACTTATCCGATCTACAATCCAATTGCACCATTATGTTCGTTACAGTTAAATCTTCACAACAAGATCTTACATGATTATATTACAATGAAAAAATATTTATATTTGTAAATTACTTTTATTATATTCGTAAGTTACTTTTATCATATATATATATAAGTTACTTTTATATTTGACTAAGTTACTTCTTAGACATATAAAAGTAAATTCAATAAAGTCTAAAAGGTATTTACATGTATTATAAAAGTATCTTAAAACAAAATGAAAGTAACTTTGTCACGACATTAGAAGACATTAAAGTTCTTTCTTTTTGTTATAAGTTACTTCTATAATATATGTAAATTACTTTTAAGCTTTATTAAATTTACTTTTATATGCCGAAGAAGTAATTTAGTGAAATCTAAAAGTAATTTAGATTTATTATAAAAGTAATTTATATTTTTTTTATTAAAATATAATCATGTGAGATCTTATTATAAAGATTTAATTGTTACGAATACAACGGTGTAATCGGATCGAAGATCGGATGAGTAGTTTAAGAGAAAATTTTATTTGAAGTATAGGTAGATAGAGTCTCTTATAGGTGAAGTGGTAGCTGGTTTAAACAAACCAGGTACCACTAGTTGTGTAGTCACGTCCTTGCTATAAATATACGGGCTTGTTTGCAGAAACTATGGAAATAAATGCAAGAGAAATTCTAATCAATTATAGGAGATTTATGTTGGAATCATAGGAGATTCGGCCATTCAACCTACCATCACTCGCGAACTCAGAGAAGGATGGAAACGATGAATGGTAATGGGCCAATAGCTCTTACCTCTTTGCTGCAGTTTCGATCTAAGGACCTATTTAGTTTATTTAGTTTCTACGCAGAAACTTTTCACCCTATCAAATCGAATATTTGATATATGCATGGAGTATTAAATATAGAAAAACTAATTACACAGATTACGTGTAAATTACGAAACGAATCTTTTAAACCTAATTGTGTCATGATTTGACAATATTGTGCTACAATAAATATTTGCTAATGGCGAGTTAATTAGGTTTAATAAATTTAGAGACGAAATCTATAATTTATTTTGTTATTACTCTATGTTTAATACTTCAAATATGTGTCCGTATATCCAATATAACACGCCAAAATTTTTCACCCTGCTGCTCTAGACACAGCCTAAATCATTCTTTTTTTTCGCACTCCCTCCTCGTCATGATACCGCCTCGCTGTAACACATGTAGTACTAAATCATCTTTTTCGATGAATTGGGAAACGGCTTCTAGTGGTCACCATTGACTTGCTAGTTAACAGTGGGACCCACTTGTCAATAACTTTTTTGCTTACCTCTCCCCGGTCTCCAACCCTCTCTCCCCCTCTTCCTCTTCTCTCACCTTTCAGCAACAATGGCGCAGCAGTAGTGGCCTGGATGGCGGCGGCAGCGGCGGCGGCGCCGGACAACGGCGCGGTGGGGTGCCTGGCGTCGGCGGTGGAGGGCCCGATAACGTGAATGGCAATGGGCCAACACCCCTGACCTCTGCTCTGCTGCAGTTTCGATCTAGTTCTTTTTCTTTTTCCGCGCATCTCGCTCCTCGCCGTCTCGCTGCCGCCGCCGATGCCGGTCCGCGTTTTCTCCGTCCCTTCCATTGCCGCCGTTCCTCTCGGCCGCGCCTCTGCTTGTGGTGCCACGTTCTCCAGCGCCGATGCGGCGGCTGTCTGCAGATACGCCAGCCGTTTGGTCAGGCACAGCAATCTCCGGCGGCAAAGGTTCTTGGTGATCTGCCCTACGGATTGTTCAGGTTCTCACTGTTTCCCTGTTGTTATCTGTTACTACTACCATTTTACCGCATTATTGTATATTCCCCTGATTCGTTAATCTAGGGAAGAGGTAGTAGAACTGGAACACAATTCAATTCAACGTGCTGAAATGCACCGTCAGAGCTGATGCCATTTCTAGTCAATGCTAACGGTTCAGTTCTGATGCATTTTCGATTTATGAAACTCTCAACTGTTTTACCCTACATAGCCCCCTTGTGGTAGCTTCTAGCAAACCTCTCAAAATTGTCCTAAGGGTCTTCAGGGTTTTTAGGTAGTATTTGTTTCAGTTATTTACCCAACTTTGCTATCCTATATAAAAGAGAAAAATCTACCTACCACCAGCATTCTGGCTTGCACTGCTCACCCAACCCCCTTCCACTCCCTCAGCACGACCGGTAATAGAGGCATAACCATAATTAAACATCCAAAGGATATATCTTGATTACAGATAAGCTAGGGAGCAAAATGGATTGTATAGGAGTTTGTATGACAGATAACATACTCGAGATATTTATCGAAGGAAACCTACAAAAAGAAGGGGATTATATATTTCTCAGGTCAGACAACTAGTTAGAATGTTAGATATATATAATTGAAGTTCATTTTCATATCAGAAAAGGCCATATTTTTAGTTTTACAGAATGCATCATTTCTTGCAATGTACAACACTACTTACAACATTTATTCAAGGGGAAAGCTCTTTTCCTTGCACTAAGAGGGCATACTTAAATTATACATTTTGAGAAATAGTATTCATAAAATAAGACATGAGACAAATAATATTGTGGTAGTAGAAATTAATAATACCAGAAAGAATATTAGAGCCCATGCCAAGGGATTATATTGTATGTTTAATGGCAAGGACATTATGAGCAAATTATCACTTACTACATACAGATCCATTCAAAACATTATGCTCTAAAGTATAGCAGAAATAAAAGTGAAACATATCCTCTGCAAATTGCATGGCTATACTAAGAATTACAGCGGATTTAGTGTAGAACAGCTCAAAACAGACCATGAAACTTCATCTAAAAAAAGTAAGTATGAAGTTTCAAATATCTTAGGTAATTTTCCTTCCCAAGCACCTTTGGCAAACCAACGAAGAGCACCGGTGATGAGTACCCTAGTTTTGGTCATCTTTTTGTCGGCGCTAGTAGCATACTTTAGTTCTTATTATTGCATTCCAATGCAAAGTAACCAATAATGTACTTGTATGTATGTTCCAAATCTTCCATTGAACAACTGTACATGTATATATAGGCTGCAGTTGTATAACTTCGGCTACACCAAGTAATTCAACAAGTTTGTGTGTGTGTGTGTGTATGTCTCAGATAGCAACCAGAAGAAGTTATGTATATATGCTCCCAGCTCAATCGACAGCACAGCAAAACTCAACTATACAACTTACAACAATAAGTAGTAACCGAAGAGGATCTTGTTGTAGAAGATGGCAAATCATATCTTAGCAGCTGAAAAGAGTTAAACCATCCACCCATGCATCAAATCAATCTCAAATGATGAGAAGATAATTGAAGGCTTCGAAAAAGCCAATCATCAACCATGCAAATAAACCCTTCTAGGATCACGCCAAATTAATTTCCACAGGCATGGAACTGACCATGATAGCTCCCCAGCGGCCCAGCCCCCGTCCTTTCTTCTTGGGCAATAAATCAACTGTAATAACCATCCCCTTGGCTCAAGATAGCAGCAGCACCATTCCTCTGCTTGTCTTGATTCACAGAGATGAGAGATGCACATTGGTCCAACTTGATCAGAAAGTTTGATTTTATTACCATATAAAACAGCTGGTCACATGAAACACATTTTGTAAGGTTGATCCGAATAGACCATCAAGTTTCAAATCTCTCAACTGTTTTTTCTTCCAAAGCTTTTGCTGCATAGTTGGCAGCAACATTGGGAAGGTAACCCACAAGATTAACTGAATGTCATCTGGAGTGTACCTTTTCCCGTTGCCGTTGCACTCGTCCATGCCATGATAAATTGTATCCCTGTAGGAATTCAGAAAGGAATCAATTTCTTCCTCGGATCCATCTCTCTTGCACCAGGAAAATTTCCTTAACAGACTAGTACCTTGCAGTTTGCCTCCCCAATCAAGCTTTCGCAAAGCATTGATGATTTCGTCTTTCTCTGTTGATTTATCACAAGGTAGCACAAACATGATGAATGCATACATCCACAGGAAAAATGCTTCTCTGTTCCTTAGAGGGACTAGAGAAGCATGTGTACAGATAAGATACTCCAAATCCATACTAATAACCTTGTCCCCAGTGTTCATTAAGTTTAGGAGATGCATCACGTCTTCAGGTATATCCTCCTTGTGTTGTCCAAACACTATTTCCATAATTATTTTGCCAGCATCCTTGTAGTTTTTAGATACCAAAGAGTCGTTCTTGTCATCAAGTTCGCTTCCTCTTAATTGCACTATCCCATCTTCTCTGATAAAAACATTTGATTCATCAAAATTCCGTGGACACTTCCCCCTTTTGTGCAGGAAATATAGCTCTTTAAGTAGTGCTCTGATGACAAATTTGGCTTCCTCAGTCATGAGGCGATATACCCTTTGACGCGTTGGACCAACAAGCATAACTGGTGTATGCTTGATATATTCGATAAGTGGCTTAAATTCCAGATCACGTATGTACTCCGCATAACTGACATGATGTGTGTTTCTGTTTTGGTACAAAAGAAGCAATGGTCAAATAGATATCAAGAGTTTGCAGAAAACACATACGAATTGAACATATAGTAAAATTTTAGAAGCATAGGAGTAGAAATTACAGTAGGAAAGGGAAATGATGGACGTTACTGTTACTCTTCATTACTAATATGAAAAATTGACAAAGAGTTGCATTTTATACATACTAGTCTGTCCAATCGTTATGCACGTAAAGAATTTCTATTGTGACTGATTGTTTAGATTAGAGCTAGGACTGCATGTATTCTTCATCAAAAAATCCAGGCCAAACTCAAATAAATTGGACAAATAAAAACAAATATCAAGTGAATAATCAACTTATCACAGTTTATTAAGTATTTCCGAATCTAGCAATTGAAGTTGACCTAGTATGGACATTTTTTATGAATACAGAATATGTTCACCCCTATATCTAGGATTTTTTTTTCTTTAAAAAACTTCTAAACAACAAAATATAATTTGGAGCACTTATGCTATGTGCACAAGATATGCCCCATTCCACTATTAGTAAATTTAATAAATCTTTCACGTTAAATTTCCCTGCATGCAAACACCACTTGGTTTGTAATATATAGAACATGGGGAATAGCTCAACTTGGTCAATCATTATTGCCAAATTAAGTGAAATTGTAGAAGAATCAATGGACATAATTAAGCATCAGTACAAAATTAGGACTGTAAAAGGTGGCACCAAACTTCTCTCTATTACACGGAGGATGTGCACACGCGCACACCGCACATGTTTGTTTAAGTGCCCCTTTAGCACAGTATGTAACACAAGCTTAACAAATGGAGCCAAAGGATTGAGGCATTGAACATACTTGTGAGAGAATTTTACTTTTGATTAGAAGCCACATCTAGAGGATTTTTAGTTATAGCTAGCTACACAAGCAGCTCTGGCTTAAAAGCTGTTATAAGAAGAGCTCTATCATTATCTCATTAAATCTTTGTGTAATTGTGGAACCAGGGCTTGAACCACATCAACGTGCTTTCCTTATGACCAAATTGACTGTAATAAAACATCCAAATCTATTGCCATGACATAATCGAGAGGATATTACTATAGGTAATTTTGGATGTTACAATATATAGTGAACGAGCTGTAAAGAAAAGGGTGAAGGAGTTACCGAAACGGGAACACGACTCCTCTCTTTGTGGGCAATGAATCAACACCAATGTCATTCTTGTTCGTGTCTTGATTCGCCGATATAGGCATTGATCCAACCTAAAAGGAAAAATTGTTGCTTTTGTTGCAATTTGAAACAGCTGAAGGATCCATGATCACACCAAACTCCTTGTCCATGTTGGATCCAAATAGACTATCAAGTTGCAAATCTTCCAACTGTTTGTTTTCCCAAAGCTCTTCTTGCATCCTTGGCAGCAACATTGGGAAGGTAATCAACAGGATTAGTTGAATGTCATCTGGAGTGTACCTTATCCTTTCCTCACCGTATTTGTCCGTGCCATGAACAATTGCATTCCTGTAGGACTTCAGAAAGTCAGTGATTTCCTTTTTGTAGCACATATCTTTCTCCCGCCTGAACAATTTTTTGAGGAGATTATCCCCTTTCAGTTTCTTGTGCCAATAAGATTTGTATGGCATATCCCCTGCTGGTTTGTCACAAGGTAGCATAAACATGATGTGTCTATACATCCACAGGAAAAATGTTTCCCTGTTCCTTAGAGGGACAAGAGAAGCATGTGTACAGATGAGATACTCCAACTCCATACTAATAGCCTTATTAGGATTGTTCATCAAGTTTAGGAGATGCTTCACATCTTTAGGTATATCATCCTTGTGTTGTTGCAACACTATTTCCACAATTATTTTGTGAGCATCCTGGTAGTTTTCAAATACCTTGGAGTCGCTCTTGTCATCAAGATTACATTCTCTTATTTCTGCTATCCCATCTTCTCTGATAAAGACATTTGATTCATCAAAATGCTGTGGGCACTTTCCCATTTTGTGGAGGAAATACAGCTCTATGAGAAGTGCTCTACTGACAAGCTTGGCTTTTTCAGTCATGATGTTGTCCATAATTGGTTCAGCCTCCTTATATTGGGTGAGTGGTTTGAATTCCTCATCGTGCATGTACTTCTCGTAACTGATTTGATGCATTTTGCTGTTCAAGTAAACAAAAAAAAGTAGCACAGGTCAATTAGTTTCAAGAAGCATTGGATACTAATGACAATATTAAAAGAATGAATTGATGAACAATACAATTACTCTTCACTACCAAGCAATGAACTCAGTGGACATATTGAGACATCACGTACTAAATAATGGATCAGGTTAAAATTAGAGGTTGAAGAAAACAGTCGACAGAGGTCCATAAATATGCCACTTACTATCTGTCTATCTCCATCCCGAAAAGCATATAATTCTGGCTAGATGCATAGCCAACTTACAATTTTTTTTTTAACGGAGCTAGTACTCTCTCCTTTTCAAATTGATCATCATATATATTTATGCACGAAGACTAAGGATAATTTAAATCATATCAATCAAGACATCATGCACATATTTTCCGACAATGCATGTATCGATTAAAACACCATGTCAATCACACCTTAGCATGTACACATTCTCTCATGCTACATTAATTGTATTCTGATGAAATCTGTATCCATTCGGTTATATGATAATTAATTTAAGAAATTTTGAATTCCATTATATGATGATCGATTTGGAAGGAGTAAGTAATACACACCTTACACATATAAGCCATGGATAAATTTGTCCATCGATATGGACATCAAATCAATATTTTAGTCTCTATTGGGTAGGGTCAAGTCCCTATAACTGTACCACCATGTGAAGAAACCTCTCACTGACAAGATTGACTTGGTGTGGCAAAGCATCCAAATGCATTGCCACATTATATAATCGAGAACCCCACATAGATAATTCGCTAAGGCATTATTCGGTTTGGAGGGGATTAAAGGAGAATAATTTCACACTATAATAGGTGTGGGATAAATCCCTTTCAATCCTTTCATTTTGGGGATTAACCGAACAAGGCCTACAAGAGGAAATTTAGGATGGCACTGTACGGGACTCGGATCCTCTTCATTGCTGTTGCTACTGCAGAGAAGCATGTTTTGTGCATTAGCTCAAATCTAGGCCGTTCATCCAAAAGAAATGGCTGTGATTTCTTCTTGCTTCAATCTCTTCCATACTTCCACTTCTCTTGTGACATATACATTAGCTCTGCCTCCTATGCTCATGGTCATCAGTTCATATCTATGCTCATGGTCATCTCGCTCATGGTCATCTTGTTGTGACGGACCTCCCTTGCCTTTGTTGGCTTAATAACTTACCCGTCTATTCCAAACATCTACTTGTGGAAAAATTTCTAAGCGGTAACTTCTTTATTTTCCGTTAGCACGCTTCCCGAACAGTTAAACCGTATGTTATATGAAAAATATTTCTATATAAAAGTTTATAGTAAATTAAATAATTAAAAATAGTCATGTCCGAAGGAGCGATTGAGATTAGTATTTTAGTGACACGTAAAACGAGACAAGTCATTAACGCATAATCAATTAACTACTCCCCGTTTCATATTATAAGTCACTAACCAAACTTGTTAAGTTTGACAAAGTTTACAGAAAAAACAATAATATTTTTAACACAAAACAAATATATTATTAACATATAATAAATGATAGTTTTAATGTCACTAATTTAGTGTTATAGATGTTGCTAAATATTATTATAAACTTTTGATAACGAGAAACATACTCATAGAGAACGAAAAAGTTACAGTTAGAAATCACTCTCTAGAACTCAGTTATTACCGTGAGTACAGTGATGTGCAACCCCATGACATCATTTTTAAGATCACCACAATAGAGTATGAACAGATAAATTTGATAGAATGAAGCCATGAAGACATAAAGTGTGAACAGACAATTGATTTGATGGTTGAGAGCAGAAAGAGCTAGAGTTTTGCTAGAAGTACGCAACCGTCCTTGCTTGGATGGATGGCTCGGATTTGAGCTAATGCACAAAAATGCTCCTCTGCAGTAGCAACAGCAATGCAGAGGATCCGAGTCCCACTGTACGGTGGGCAAGATTGATGCATTGCATTAGTTTGACTTACATACAAGAAGCATGATGTACCAAAATAGGATGTGCAAAACAGGATCAACCACTACATTCAGTTAGAAATATAAACAGCATTACGCATCCGTTCTAAGAAACAGACACACAATTAATGAATGTTCGAAAGCAACAATTGCACCTCTGGATTTTCTTCCATATATTTTTTTTCCATTACAACGAAGCCACACACATAAGGGTGCATCAAGTTCTCATAAACAGTATCACTCATCCGTTCTAGTACATGCGTATGCTTGTGAGTCTTATACTTTTTTATATACATAATCAAACACACCATACATATGTTTATTTATTTTAGAAAAGATGAATCAATATGCCTGAGAAAATCATAAATCGCACACACACATATATGCATCACGCCACGTTTGATTCATGGAGCTATGCACCTTGAAGCCCGTAACAAACTTCATCTAAATCAGTGATCAGTGTTACAAAAAGGTGGCTAACTCCCGATCTGTGTCCGAAAAGCAACAATTCGACCTATCAGTCGACCCCATCTGTCGCTCCTAGCGGGAAAATAGGAAAAAAAATAAATGAAAAAAAAAAACGGATGCTGAAGCCGACAGATTGGCTAAGCATTTCGAAGAGATCTTCCCAAAAACGGAAGGATTCGTACTAAAAAGGCCCACCCACCCGAAAGCACACAAAGGGCGGTGGATCGGTCGTCCGATCAAAACTCATCATAGGATTTATTAAAGCTGGAAAAAAATTAAGCAAGATGTCGTGTAAAAAATTAAGCACAACCTCTTGAAGAGCGGAAGAGGCCACACACGAGCTGGCCGGCGGTAAAACTCCGGCGGAAGAGGTTGGACTTACCGGAGAGAAATCACGGCGGTGCACGTACCGGAGGGTTTTGGCGGCGGCGGCCACTCTTGTAGGGAGTACTACGCATGTGTGGTACGGAATGTCTCTGTCACGTACAGTGGCCGTCGCTCCATCTGACAGCAGTGGCTACGCTGGTTTGCCGTGGGCCCAATCTCAGGCCCTACCCGAATCTATTTTCCACGTGGTTGCTCCTAGAGGTGACAGGTGGGTGGGACCTGAGAGCTAACGGGGCACGACGTGGCTGCCGCAACAGCAAAAGTAGAGCACATAATTAATACAATTGAGCCAACATAAGCTACTTCCTCCGTCCAAAAATATATCGATGTGATATATCCCAATTCTACGAATCTAGAAAAAAATAATAGGTATATCACATATATCCAGAAAAAATTGACCATGGAGAAGAAGATCAAAGTGGAGTGGCCGCCGAGAGCATACGATGAGGACCATCTGCCGCTGGCCGGTGGCATCAAAGTAATTGGAAGAGCCCCCGTCGCTGCTAACCGGTGGCGGTGGAGCCGGGCGGAAATTGAGGAGGGATATGCCCCGGCGAGAAAGCTAGGCTAGCCTTCCCCGCCAGAGTCGACCAGGACGCCGATGGCGCCCAAGAGCGTCGCAGCTAGCTGGTACCGCGCGCCACCACTTCTACTGCTCCCGGCGCCAGCGTCGATAGACTCCGGCGGGCGGAAAGGCTGAGCAAATTGAGAAACGGAGAAGCTCGATCGATTTGCCGCCGCCATGTGACACAGCTCCGGATTGACTTGGGGTCGACGACCTCTCTCTCTCTCTCCCTTGACGACCACGATGCTTTTGCTCTTGCAATGGATGCCGCTACACTATCATCGTCTCGTTGACATCCTCTTCTACTGATCCAGAGCAGGTATACCTAAACGTATTTATTTTTAATGACTCGATCGTAATAATGTATAGCTGACCTGACCCTTTCAAAGTCGTCTCCGTATTTGTAACTACGACGCAATTCTCTGTAGCTACATTCCTCGAATAGTCTCACAACGCGCACCTATGCATGTACTCACCTTTATGAACGCAGATACATACATCGTATCGCTACGAGTTTTCGAAATTTTTTTCGAAAGATTAAATCGACATATCTAAAAATTAACGAAATCAAGCTAACTTAATTCGTGGAATAAAATTTCCTTTTAAGGAAGAAGAAGGTGCATTGTTTTTTCAGCAGGAAGAAGGTGCATTATTGTTCCCGGCACATGATTGACGGGACGGTACGTAGTTTTTGAATTATCTTGCCATGAAACAAACAAGCATGTATGGACTTGGTAATATATACGGTATATCGATCATCCTAGTTTACGTTTCACAACGTAAGATGTTTTTTGTTTTGAATATATTCATGCATGGATTCTTACATATACTTCATATATGTGTGTTCAAATTAATATGCATGTTAGTGAATCTAGGGGAGGGACATAGAAATCAAAACATCTTATTGTGTATACGTGTGAGAGAGAGTATTTATCAAGAATTTTCCCAACTAATGCTGTACAGATGATTTCTTTTGGATTTTTGTTTGATTCACCATTCACGTTATGACCTAACTCAATTTTTTTCAGAAAGAGGGCGTCCTGGAATATTTAAAAATTTTTAAAAGGACGATGCCATAATGTTTGGGTGTTTGAATGTACCAACAGCCTAAATAATCCATAAACTGTTGGCCCACTAACCGGCTCGTTTTCTCATTATCCAAACATCACGCGACCCAATTGAGTAGAATTTATTTGGAATAAATTCACTTAAGGTCTCTCTATTTGTCACCGAGTTTAGAATTCACCCTTGAACCATAATACCATGTTTTGGCTCATGTGGCGTTTACGTGACATTGGCGTGGCACTTAAAGTTAGAGAAAATCATAGAACCCACGTATCAGTAAGAGTCGGTTTAAAAATAAAAGAGAATACCTAACTAACACATTAATAGATTAACTAGGTAACTAGTAATTAATTAAGTAGAATTATTATTTCAATTAGCATCATTAGAAATAATTAATTAATCGCTAATTAGTACGATTAATCTGCTCTGTGAGACCGTGGTGGTATCTCGCACCGGGTTCATATTCTCTACCATAGTAACTATCTTTATACACACTGACATGTGAGACAATAAAAATGTAGGACCCATATATTAGTAGTAAATGTAATAGTAGTGATAGTCAACACATTATAGTAAGGATCCTCAAGCGGCTGCCAGCTGACAGCTTTCAAACTCATCATCATCACTCCCCAAATTTAAAAGGAGTCCGTCACAACTCTCCTGCTCTGCCGCCGCTGCAGTTTAGATCTCGAAATTTTTTCCCCCTTCTCGCTCATTCGCTCTTGCTCCTCCTGGCTGATGCTGCCGCCGCCGCCGCCGCGCAGCAAAATGCCCGCCGGACGGCATCGCCGCCGCTTCCTTCCTCCACCTCCGTTATACCATCCATCCCCGCTGCAGTCTACGAAGTAAGGATGGCGGTGGCGGCCGTCGCTGTTGGTCAGCCGCAGCGGTCTCAGGTAGCCAAGTTCTTGGTGACGTAAGAGTTAAGACTTGGCGCCGTTCTATTTGTTCTACATTACCTTATTACATCGCCCTTCTGTATTTTTTTGCTTTCGGTATTTTTGTGTCATAGATTATTACTACCCATAGTATTGATGCATTTCTGTTAAAATGGAAGAGTGCAATATGAAGACTTTGCCAGGATAACTACGCTGTATCTGGTTGGTATTTGCAAAACATGGCAACTAGTTATTGACAAAGAATCATCTGGCCACATACTATGAAAAACTCGTTGTCAAAGCTGAACAATCTACATTGTTTCTACCTGTTAAAAACTGTTCTCATATCATAAGTTCATAACCTGATGTCTTGACTAGTGTCTTCAAATGTCACCAATTTACTCAAATTAAAAGAACGATACCCAGGTAGAAGCGCATTCCAAATTCTAAGAGTTCTCACTTCACACTTTAATTTTACACTTTATGACTACTAGTATTAGTTTCAGATCTGCAACCAATTCACTGCATTTTTTTTCCAGAGTAGCAGTATCGACATAATCAAGTTCAAGTAGCAGAGCAACATTTTAGTAGCAGCTCAGAGTAATAGGGGCCTGTTTGGCACAGCTCCAGCTCCACCCCTCCTGAAGCTGGAGCTCAGCCAAACAGTTTCAGCTCCACCAAAACTGGGAGTGGAGTTGGGTGGAGCTCTCTCACAAAATGTACTAGAGTTGTGGAGCTGAGTTTAGGCAGCTCCACAACTCCACTCCAGACTCAACTCCTGGAGTTATATTTAGGAGTTGGAGCTGTACCAAACAGGCTGCAGGGAAGCCGGTGAATTCAGATCGTTAGCTTCGCCGGATTGAGGTTGGGGAGTGCGGATCAGCTGAATGCAGGCGTCGTCTCCCAGCCGAGAAAATCAAGACAAGGGAAAGGTGAAGAAGACCGGGGATGGTGGTCTTCTTGGGTTTTGGGGGAATTGCACATAGAATATTAGAATGATATAGAATTAGGGAGGTGAGGTGACATACTGTAGGTGTTTATTGGTGTAGTTGCTACAATGCGAATTTGCGAGGTCACACGGCACCTCTCCGTTCCTCCCTGCATCAGAACAATCATGGCCATTCATTATGTGATCTAACGGCTCCGAACGATCAATATAGTATAAGCAATAGTAGTAGTCAGAAAAGTTTTTTCGTCGCGGTACATTTGCTACAGAGTCATGGCAATCTTTAGCCGTTTGTTCCTGATCTTGTGGTATGGGCGTCTCCGTCGGCGTTTGCGGCAGCAATAGCTATCTGAAGGAATCTTTTTACTCTTAAAAATTGTTTGCAATACAAAATTGCTCTGATTGTGGACCAAATGACTAGCCAGATAAAGATGACGGACCCTTATCGGTGAACCGTGATGCAAGACAGTGACACGTAATTAAGACTGGTTCCCATAAGACTTTTGGCGGCGCTCCCGTGGACGGTGCATCTCGTTCGTTAATCTTATTTGTTCCAATCCAGTGGAAGTGCACCCGTTAGCTCCCTGCTTCCTGCACACATGGCGTGTGTGTGAGAGAACTGAGAACCTTGTACCTCATGGCAATACCCTGGAGGCCTGGAACTGGCAAGTTGCCTTTTAATTCCAAAACAAAAACAAAATAAGAGAGGAAAAGAAAAAGGAAAAACAATGACATACTTTGGTTAGCTTATCTTGGACAAGTCTTCTTTAAAAAATCTCTCGGACAAGTGAATATTATTAATGTATGTACTATCTCCAAATAGTATCCTAGTACGAGGTTAGATATAATCTAGTATTATAAATTTAGATATGCTTCCCTATGCAGATTTATAGTACTAGATTTTTTGTGTATAGTATACTAAAGGGTGAATAGTCAAAGTAGTCCTCCAAGTTTTATCTAAGGCTCAGTTTAGTTCTTGATGTTTCAATCTATCTATATTAGTCCTTTAAATTTTCATTTTAGTTCAAACTCATTCTTAAACCAACAACTCTCTTGATAAATGACACTTATACCCTCATCATTCACATATATAAGAGAAAATTGCATGCTTGATTTTTTTATAGATAATGCATAGTAAATTATGTAAAATGAAAACAAATTATGTACTAGCAAGTGTATATGATAGCAATTGCTTAAGTTTTATGTGCACATGTTGAAATAATGGGAAGTACATCTGCAATGTTGTTTATTCATCTTGGTTTTCTCTTTTCTATCTAGTACATAGCTAAATACAAATTAAGGGCAAAAGGGATATTTTCTAATAGAGATATTGACTACAAATAGCCATATGGCATATTAAATGGACCCAAGGATAATTTTAAACCAAAACAAATATTTAGAGGAGTTATGTGGACAAAATGAAACGTGAAGGACCAAATTGAGCCTTCGATGAAACTTGAAGGACTAAATTAGCTATTCACCCTATACTAAACTAAATTGATATAATTTTGAAATGGATGAAGTCATAACTAATTATTTCCTCTTAACCCTATCTTGCAACGTAAATATACGCTTCAGTCTCTTTTTTATATACATGGAAACAGGGCAACAACTGTCTCACACGGTCACTCTCAGGCTTCCCAACTTTTCCGTATACTCTCTCCATATCAAAATAAACCAACCTAGCTATAAAAAAATAGAATTTAGTACAACGAATTCTGACAGGTTTTTGTCCAGTTTCATTATACCAAGTTATATCCCATGTAACCTAGTTGGTTTATTTAAACTTGTCACACCTAACCTAGTTGGTTTATTTTAGAATGGAGGAAGTAATTGTAAGGCATGATGCTGAAGTCATATACGGTGAGCCCTTATGGATGGAAGTTTTGTTTTAAAAAAAAATGGAGAAATTCAATCCAAAGAAATAATTCCTACATGAGTATAGGATTATAGGATTGCTTCAAAGATAATTCAAATGATAACGAAAAAATCCTCCATATTTTGCAGGAATTCTAGCAAGGGGTCGAACCTCATTGTTTCAAACTTCTTTGAGATTTCCAAGGCACTGTCTCTCAATCTCTCTACATTCTTATTAGGAAAAAAATCTAACAATAATACAATTAAAATAGCTTTCACCCATTGTAACGCACGGGCATTTTTTCTATTTAATCCAAAAGAATGTGGGACTATTCAATAGCCGCCGCTGTTGCCGCAGACAGCCAAGAAGAGCCGGAGCCATGGCCGAATTTTTTGGGGACTTTGTGAAGGGAGAAGGTTTGCCGGAGGAGGGAGAGGAAGGTAGCAAGCCACTGGCGACGAAGTCGAGCTAGCGATGGCGGCGATGTGGTTGTCGACTTCTCGGGGAAACGATGGGATTGGGCCAATCCAGTGGATACCCATGGGTTGAATCTAATCTGGAACCAAACTTTTGCAGCCAAAACCAAACAATCCAAACCATTTCCCATCTCCATCCAAACCAGTCCAGTCCATCAGGTGCACCAACCCATTTCCACCCGCCCAAAGCTAACCCACACTGAAATCCAACCCACTATATCCATTTATTAGCAGGCTTACTCGTGTAGCAGATTAGCTCATGCAAACGCTCAGTCGAACGGAGCCTTAGCGCAAACTGACTACATGAGAATTGAGATTAAGCCGCGCAAACATAGCAGATACTTGAAATTTATTTACCAGCATACATACAACAGCACTGCGCTGGCGCTGATTGCTTCACTATAATAGAAGCATTCGAGAGACCTGACATGTTCCAACCTCTCTTACGGGAGAAAGAAAAGAAATAGTAGAACCACTAGACATGGAACAGCAGATCATTACAGAGAAATGATCATATTTATGATTCTTCTATCTCCATTTTCTGCTCTTGTTCATCTTGACAGCTTTCAGCTCCTGCATTCACCACAGCCTTGCGATACTTCTGATTATACCGCAGGATTACTACCGAAATGAAAGCTGCAGATAAAGAAATAGATCCATGTTAGTCTCATATTTAAATTAGAAAGGCATGTTGTGCATATCTGCTAAGGCTGTTCAGATCATAATGAAAACTTAAAAAACGAATAATTTGCTACGCTGTATGAAACACAAGAAAAACCGATCACCCAAATAAAACACATATATGCTACATTATACATTGCATATCAGCTCAATCTATCTATTATATTATTAAAACAGCCTTGAAAGGAGGCACCACGTTCGCGGTAGAAAAAGAGAAATATCTACACCGTTAGATCGTGGTGGGTCCAAATTATAACGGTGTAGATCAATTCATAACTTATATAGTTATGAAATAGAATTTGTATTCAACTAGGAAAAGGATATTCCATCTCTCTGTATTGGTTAGCAGCATATGCATTTACGTATATTGGAGTCCTGATAGTATTTCCGTATGGTGTCCGATTTGGGAAAGAAAAAATAAAGAAGTTTGCATGCACAGCAGAACTGGAAAGGTACATGCGGGCATAACTACACATGTATAATCACATATTACTACCAGTAACATAGCATTTGTTGCCAAGTGTTAATTTACTGTGTATTAAAGAAGACATTACGTTCGTTCATTGTGTAGGCTAGAAATTCTCACATCAATTAATCAGAGAAAAAATATTTTAATCGTTACATCATGATGGGTTTAGATAATAACAACATATATTGACTGATATAGCTGTATGTAAAATATAATTGTATCTGTATAAATAGAGTTAAGAGTTGTATATGAAATCTAAGCTTATAGAAAAAGAAAAAGTTGTATACGAAATTAAAATATACTTTTATATGAACCGTAAAGGAGTAGGGTGGTCCAGAAAACTATGAAATAGAACCCTAATGACGATTAGGTTTGATTTTTAGAATCCCAATAATATAAATAGGAGGGATGGCGAGTGGGCCATAAAGGAGTAGGGTCGTGATAGTTGATAGGACTTTTATAGAGTAAAAAAGGGACCGCAACGATGATCAGGTTCATTTTTTAACTAACAATGATAATAGGGGGAGCGGGCAGGATCGGGTCATAAAGATGTAAGGTGGCCACATTTGATGGGATCTCTAGAAACTAAAAAACGAAATCCGATGAGACAATAAACTCTAAAACTCTATTGTCCGATTTTTAAAGGTCGCAGGGAAGATGAATATAAGCCGTGGCGGGCTGAGCAACAAGTAAAGGGGGTGTCAGTTGTGTGACTTTATAAAACTATAAAATTAAAAACCCGGTGATGATAAAGTTTGATTTTGAAAATCCTACAACAATGAGATGATGATATAATAAATTTTATAAAAATCATGTGTAAAAATTTAAATAATTTTTTAGAGAAAAATAAATATTTTTCTATGGATGCTAGCCGCGCAATTGCGCGGGCCACCCTACTAGTTATCTTCAAAGCATGAGTTTTTTATCAAATAATAGCAACTCTTCATTGCAGCTCATGTTGATTTCAAGTGGTGCAAGTAAAAGAGAAAGTACAAGTAGGAGGCTATTATTTTTCTCCAAACCAGACAGTTTTTCATCACAATTTAGAGGCAACACCAAATACTTCCAAAGAAAATATTTTTTGTATCACGCACAATGCATTACCTACTTATAGAAATCAATGGTCTCAATATTCCATTATGTTTCTCACTATGGGTTCTTGGGTTGGTTTATATGATCTTTAAGTTAGGCTTCCAAACACAACACTCCTGCTTTGCTACTCTTATTGTATAGCCCAAGTATAATCTTTGCAACAGGATACATGCTGGTGGCCGGTCTGAGACAGTCAACATATAAAGAAGAACCATCTTTCTACTTGAAATTTTTCAGTAGGTTCCTAGCCAGTTCATAAAAATGGTCTCCTTACAGATGTGACCAAACACTGTATCGAAAATACTTTTACCAGTACCTAGTGGATACATAACATTTTTCATGAAAAGTACAATGGTTATAAAGTTATTCCAACAGTATAAACCATATCAGCATAGATACCTGCAATGATGCGGGTCTTCACACTGAACATGTTCCAGCACATTGTCACTGCTGTACCCGCAACGAGTTTCTTGCGGGGACAAGACTTCCATGCTTCTAGAGCCCGATCTCTCAAAATTTCAACTAAAAAGAGGAGGAAATTTAGCCTAGCGCCCTGAACAATTGACATATAGCACGGAGAAGGTTAACTCAATAGAAACAAGTAAATCATACCTCTCTTATGAATTTGGCTTGAATAGCAGCTATAAAGCTTTGGGAGTGTAAAGCTGGTGAAAAACCCTGCAAAGTTCCATTAAACACAACAAGCTTCAGCAGAGCAGTCACCCTAAACATTGATATTCTTCTTTGTGTATACAATCGTACCTGTGGCCAGAAGTCTCCATACTGTAACCAGACTACCGTATTTAGCACCAAACAGAAGAGCAGGTAATACCTAAGATTCGGCAACAATAGACTTCTGTATTACTCAGGGGACCGTTTGTGTGCCAAAAGAATGTCATCAAATTCGGTACATGCTTACTTTGAGAGTCATCGATGGTTCACCAGAGAAGATCACTTGTGCAGTTGATATCATGGAGTTTGCAACTGGCAACACGGCTCGTGCAGCACGAAGCACATCATCTTCAGTCAATCTGAAGCTCCTTCCCCTCTCTACCTGCTGCCTGCTGCAGATGAGAACTCAGATTGATTGCCTTGATTGAAATGGGTTTACAAACAGATTGCCACTGGCTCATACTGTCATACCTCTGAGGAATGGAATCTTTGAAGAAGGCTAAGCCCAAGACCATCACACCCAAGTGACAAAGCGCCGAGATTGGGCTGCAGATCATCACCCGAAAGCCGAAACTCAGTAACAGTACATGATCAAAAGAACGAAATGAACTGCAAAGCAGGAAATCCAGGTAGAAGGGGATCAGATTGCGCAAACCTGAAGGTGATCTCCCTTGAAAAGGAGCAGGAGAAGAAGAACATGGATCCCAACCCAAACCAGAGTGCCGATTTCGCCACATTCTTCCACATCACCAAGTCGACGATCCTTTCCCAGAGATCTTCCCACCCAGACTGCTCGAGGGCATCAGCACCTGCGCCACAAATCGAGATCCGATTAGACACGAACTCGAGGAGGCAATTCCCCATACACAACGAGAGCAAGAGCAAAAGAGAGCATCTGGAGCAGTGATTTTCTCGAGGCAAAAATTAGCCCCAAACCAATAAGAACCAACAAGAGATGGCTTCGCTAACCTCGTATCGCATCGGTGCTAGCCAGCACCAACGCCATGCTCGTATCCTCCTTATCCGCCGCCGCCGTTGCCACCTTGTCCGCGGCCGCAGGCGCGGCCTTGGTCGCCGCCGCCCGGGTGGACTTCCTCCTGCGTGCCCTCCGCGCGGCGTCGTCCTCCACCTCGATCTCCTTCTCCAGCCTCCGCCTCGCCCTCCGCCCGTTCCTCGGCGACGCCACCGCGGGCGCCGCGCACTGCTCCGCGGCCACGCGCCGCCTCCGCCTCGGCGGCGTCCCCGCCGCCGGCGCCGCCACCATCTCCAGGCTCTCGTCCAACCCAGCCCCGCGATGCCGCGACCAGTTGCGGCGCGCCGACCCGGGCGGCGGGGACATCAGGAGGAGCTCCTGCAGCGAGCACCCCGACAGCTGCAGCGGCGACGGCATGGGCGACGACCTCTGCGCCCCCGCCCCCGCCGCGGACTTCCGCGGCGGCGTCGCGACCTCCTCCACCGCCGCAGCAGCAGCAGCAGAAGGGGAGTGGTGGTACGGCGGCGCGGGGAGCCTCGCGGGCGGCGCCGGCGACGAGGCGTGGTCGTGGTCGTGGTCCATGGCCATGGCCGCCATGTGTTCGTCGATTTGCCTCGCCGCGTGCTTTGGTCGGCGTTGGATTTGGAAGGTGTATTTGGCGTATTGGAGAAGGTTGGGTTGGGGTTTAAGGAGGTGGGAAAGCGAGAGCGGGTGGGGGAGATTTTTATGGGGCCCACGTGTCAGTGTGCGTACGTGCGGGAATATAGCCGTTGGGGAAACGGGACACGGCCACACGGCAAGCGGTGGTGCTTTTCCAGGTGTCAGAATGAATTGCGGTGATGTGGATGACAGGTGGGGTCATGTGGAGGACTGAGGAGTGGGTCCGGCAAGTCGGTGAGGGGGAGTTTGAACCGTTTCGGAGGGTGGAAGGGTGGTTGGTGAGGAACTGATGAGGATCGTTAACTCACACTCTCACAGTGTGGAGTGGTTGAAGGAAATAAAGCTCGATAGAGGAATTAAGAATGGTACTACTAGGCCTCCTTTTTATTAGCATATTTTTCACTCTGTTAAACTGTGCATTTCATACAGTGCATTTCATACGTAAATTTATATAGAAATTACTATAAAATATTATATAAATATGTTTTCAAGATTAAAAAAATTTAAATTTAATTAATTAATCATGTGTTGATTGTATTTTTGTTTTATGCACCCATACTTAATCTTCATTTTTAGCACTATCGAATAGCCTAAATTCTCAATTCGTTTTCCCATTTGCTATTTAGCCTCACATCGTTTTGCTCTATGGCTAATAAGGCGTAAATTAAGCAAGGCAATTATAAATAATTTATGAGTAAAACTTACATATTTATATTTGTATGATTTATAAGAGCTAATGTTAAAAACAAACTACACTAAAACTTAAAATCAAGTTTAAAATTTAAATTTGGCAATAGCTGATAGACCAATAAACAAATGACATAGGTGTCAAATAAAGTTGATTGCCGATGTCTATTATACATTAAGTGAAATGTTTGTTTTAGAGCAGGTATAGTAGTTAGTGAAGGAATAAGTTCACCAGAGGTCACTCAATATAACAGCGAGAGTTTTTTTGAGGTCCCTTAACTACAAAATCAAAAATGTTCACTTCTAAACTCACTCAAACCGTGCAAGGGAGATCCCATGGCAGTATTTATGTCCGGTTTTACTGACGTGTCATTCTAGTTAGAAAAATTAAAAAAATAAATATACAGGGCCCACATGTAAGCGATGGTGTAGGCCCCATAACTCTCCTTTCTTGCTTTTCCTTTTCTCTTCTCTTCTCTCCTTCTCTCTAGCAGGCACGGCGGCAGACTCGGCGTGAGGCGGCCGGCATCGAAGCAGGGGCGGCGGTAGCGGGAGAGGGGGAGAGACGGCCGGCGCGATGGCGAGCTCGGCGGCGGAGAGTAGCGGCGCGCGGCGCGGCGGCGAGGGAGAGGAGCGGCAGGAGAGGGGTCGCCGTCGGTAGCAGCTGGCCGCGGCGCAGCGCGCCTTCTGCCTGCCGCTCACGGGGCACGTCCTTGCCGCCGCGGGGACCGGGAACACCACGCGGAGGCAGGTGCTGCAGGCGCTCGGCTGCGGCAGGGGCAGCGCGGCCGACGTGGCCAACGTGGGGGCTGCGGCTGGCGGCGTCCGTGGCGGGGAGCGCCGCGGGCGACGAGATGGCCGTCCGCGCCGCGTCCGACGGCGGCGCCGTGCGCGTGTAGAACCGGGTGATGGAGGAGTGGCGCCGTGCGCTCTTCGTCGCCGCGCGGGAGAGGCCCGGCAGGCGCGACGGCGGCGTGGCTGTCTTCTCCGCGCTCACCGGCGACCTGCGCCATCGTTTCCGCGTCGCGCACGACCGTCACGTCAGGTCCTTCACCCCCGGGGCGCTCGCCTTCGACAACCGGTGCAAGGCGACAACCGGTCCTGGTCGGCCTCGAGCAGCTGCGCGACCTCTCGACGCATCTACCGCACCTGTACCTCCTTGCGGTTCCTCAGCAGCTTGATCCGCGCCAGCGCCATCCGCAGCGCCGTCTTGCTGCGGCATCCACGAGACAAAAAAGAAAAGAAAAGAAACACTGTTAGCCCTTGCAAGCACGCGCCGTCTCCGCGCACACAAACGCGCGCGGAGAGTTAGCGAGGACGAGATGATCTTGGGCAGGCAGGCAGGCAGGCGGGCAAACTGACCACTTGTCGGGCTTGAAGCCCATGTGCAAGACGCCGGACAGCTTCACCTTGCTCCTGTGCATCTCCGCGCGCTCGGTGACGCCGACAAGCTCCAGTGGCTCGACGGCACGGGCACGCTCATGGCGGCGACCATGTTCCCACGGACAGACTCCTTCGTCAGCCTGCTGTTCATGCGAAAAACACATACTAGTATGAGAGATCTGCTTAACTCTAGTGCAGGTCCTAAATCTTGCTTTCGGGTTCAAAAACGTGCCAGTTGATTTGATTCTGCAATCAACAAGAAAGAAAAACAAGAAAACAAGGTTAAATCAATAAACGATAGCCAATCGGCTAAAGGCTGATGACATATCGTTAATTATTGAGCCAACGTTATTGGCATTAGATCGGCAATGAAGAATTAAACAAAATAAAGTTAAATCTGCTCGATCGGCTGTAGATATCAATAATATATAATCTACTTCTAGAAGTATATTTAAGCCAAATGATTGGGATAGATCGGACAGCAAGCCGAGACAGTATAAATCACTTATGCTTAAAAGTACTTTAAGACGAAGATCATATATATATTTATAACATAGCCGATGAAACAGATTTAACACGTATCGACTAGTACTCCAATACCACTCTATATTAGGATATTAAAAGCAGATAGACTATACCAGACAATAGGCCTAATATATTTTAATGCAATAAAATCTTAATATAAAGGGCAGATTTAGCATATTGAGTAGTCATGTAGAGAGCAAAGTAGCTAAATCAGGTAAGATCGGCTGAAACTCCGATACTATCTCTATTGATAATTATAAAACAAGTTAGAATTATAGCTATAGATATTACTTAGTAGGTCGAACTCGATGCAGCATTAAGCATAGGGACAAATATAATATCTACACAAGTTGATGAAAACCTCTGCGAGATGGTAAATATCAATGTTGCTGTCTAACCCCATCAGCGGCCTTCTAACCGTAGATGTTAACCGATTTAGTGTTAGACAACGATATTGATAGAAATTATATAGCATATACGATAACTCGACGATTTACATAACCAAGATTAGAGTGTCATAAAGATGTAAGCACTAATCCCAAGAACGCAAGCCGCCATGACAAGTTTTACCTCTTGTTGAAGATCGAAATCGATGCAGCTCAACCCAAAAGCAAGAACTCGTTGAAACAATAAAAATAAAAAAGGGTGGCGATACACCGAAAGTGTTATTGAACTGTCATTGTTAATTACATGGGATCGGGTTATATTTATACCCGAGATATATGACAGTTCCTTGCCGGACACGACTCTTATCTCCAACAAAATTTAAGATACGAACAAATTGTAGGATCGAGATGTCGACTAGAGGGGAGTGAATAGGCGATTTTAAAACTAAATGGCACCTAATCAAAACTAACCTAAGTTGCTAGGCTTGGTGAGGGTTAAGTCTAACTAAGCAACTAAGTTATGTTTTGCAAACCTAGGGTGATAGTGGCTCAATTAATTCTCTAGGAAAGTAAATCACACTCCTATGTCAAAGTTTTGCAATCCTAGGGTGATATGATCTCAAGTATGTCTTTAGGAATATAAATTACACAAATATAAATGCGACAATCAAATAAGACAAGGAGACAAGAGATCCCTCCACAAATTGGTTGTTGTTCTAATTTAAACGAAGGCCCGGTTTAGATGGCAAAAATTTTTGTTTTGGGGTGTTACATCGGATATACGGACACATATATTTGAAGTATTAAATGTTGCCTAATAACAAAACAAATTACAGATTCCGCCAGTAAACCGCGAGATGAATTTATTAAGCCTAATTAATCCGTCATTAGCAAATATTTACTGTAACACCACATTGTTAAATCATGGCGCAATTAGGCTTAAAAGATTCGTCTCGCAATTTACACGCAAACTGTGTAATTGATTTTTTTCTACATTTAATACTCCATGCATGTGTCCAAATATTCAATGTGATGGGTGAAAAGTATTTGTTTTGGAAACAAAACAGGGTCGAAGTTTCAGCTTGTTTCTAGTTTCCACTTAGGCCTAGTTTTTTTTCTCAACTCCAAACTTCAAATTTATAATAGTTAATTTATAATAGTATATTTAACATATACTCTACTGCTATATAGTTAAATATTAGAATGTTTAATCATCAACCACTATAAATTCATATAGTTTAACACCATAAAATTTTTATTTTTTCCACTATGATAAATACTTTTATAATATATAATCCACATCTTGTTAAATTATAGGGATATCCAAAAATTAAGAGTAAATTTCACAAAAACTAAATGTACTTTTACCAAACTATCACAAAACTACAAATTTAAGATGAAATATCATAAAAATATAGGTTTAGGAATAAAATGATGACAAATTACATGTTCTGCATGACTACACCAAGTTAAGTACAAAACTACAATATTTATAACTCTAACATAATAGCAGTGACATGAATTCAACTGTAAAATATACAGTTTTGTAATAACTTGAGTATTAAATCTACAGTTTTATGATACTTGGCCTTATATATGTAGTTTTATGATAAATCTTGTGTTAAATATGTAGTTTTACGATATTTTGATCTAAGTACTTATAGTTTTTTGTGAAATTTACTCAAAAACTAACTTCTAAAGATAGACACAATGAAAAAAAAACCCATAAGTAACTAATTTGAATTGGTTTGCTCAAATCAGATGCACATGCGCACACACCCATTTAGTCCTACACAAATGTGTCGTATACAGGCTGACGTATTCAAATCAACTGTAACCAAGAATGACTTACAGTTATAGATTACAGCATTTCCCGACAATTAATACATTACAAATACAAGATAGGTTTGAGTTCACCTGCCGGAAGAATACGATATACATGTTTGACAAGGTAAATGATCATCTTGGTCACAGCAACAGATTATTAAGAACAACATTTGGGTGCCCCAACGCGTAGTTGCCGATGCACCACAATAATGAAATATCTCAACACCTTTGTGCTTAGGTTTCCAGTTTGCCATGCCTCTGGCAGAAAGATTTTATCCTTTCAAAGGCATCCACAAGAGATGGTATATCGATGGCGAAAGTGATGCGAACCCAATTCTTCAATCCTAATGCACTCCCTGTAAAATATTTTTTTTTCTCCTGAGAAATACTCATGTGCATTGGGGCAGAATTGAGTAGCCAAGAACAAGAAAAGGCGTGCCATCTGGACAAATTAAACTCCTTTTCACGCTGTGTCTTATCTTAACCTTTATTTTCGGTAATACGCAAAAGGTTTGTGTATCGTTGCATTAAGAGAAATAAAGTTCAGTACAAATAAATACAACAGAGGTAAATGTTAGCCTAATTCTTGCAAGTTTCTTAACCTTTATTTGTGTTGCCTTTCCATGTAAGGTTGTAGAATATACCTACTAGTGTACTACACATTATCATTAGGAAATTGGTGAATGGTGAAATTGCATTCTAACTAACATTGTTTAGTATACTTACACTATATGTTAAAGCAATGACAAAATGGCTGAGATATAATAGGAAGGCATGCCATATGATAATCAAGTTCAAGACAATGTTTGAAACGCAAAGGCTGCTATGAAAAAAAAACAATGCAACTGTGTCTCGCAATTTACCATGATGTCTCTGTTATAATAATGGAAGAAGCATAATGAAACTAATCAGATGCTCAATTCGTTTCGCATTAGGGTCCTCTTGTGGAGTTGTTGCTAACAATATGACTCCATTGCAGACATTAATGTGTAGTTGTTCCAGTGTATTTCCACTATGTATCCATAAAATTCTTAAAACAGGTTGACACGTTGAGTGGCTGTAGTACAGTATTTCTGTGCACATAGTGGATTTTGATTTATATTGCTAAATGGAAGTAATAATGGTCGTCCTGTTTTTTTACCATACAAGAGGTTGAACATTTATGGAATTTGTACCTGGCAAAACTATCACAGACTCCTCTTTTGCCAACCTGCAGCAGAAGTCCATATCATCATGGAAGCCATCCAAGTAAGAGAGATCCAATTTTACCTGAAAAATAAAGGATAGACATGAATTAGATGATGATTGAGATTAGGATACAAAACTGAGCCAGTTCATCCAGAGCATGTTAGCCTGTACTTTTTCTTACCATCACAAACATTGATCCCTCTGGCTTGTGTGGACATGTAATGCCCTTGATGTCCTTTATTTTATCATAACATAAATCCGCTGCATTCCTTAATTGATCGAGAATTTTGTTGAAGTAATCTTCTTTTGTGTTGGCTATAATTTGAGGGATTGCTCCCTGTGAATAAGAATATTAGAATGTAACACACTTTCTGAAAAATTATGTTGCCATGCATGTGCATGCTTGTTAGAGAGTTTGTGTCCAGAAAAAGAGGAATATGTCTGTAAATCATATTGCCATAAATGATGGATGTGAAAATAAGAAAGGCACATATACCTGAACAAACGTTGCAGGATCAGTTGAGATGTTAATATAGTTCTCAATTGATTGGTTAACCTGTCATGAAACATTTTAGATAAGAAATCCAATTGCCAGTGCAATATAATTATTATCCTTTTTTTGTGAGGAATATAATGACAAAATATCCCCTTCAAAATGTAATTGAATGCACATGCAGCAACTAAAAAGAAAAGGAAGGGAAAGATCTGGGTAGCATACAAAAATACTATCAGCCACCGCAAAATGGTGCACTAACACATTATTCTAGATTCTATGCTACCAACGCAAATTAACCAAGTATTTCTAAGAAGAAATTATCAGGCTAGACAAATGTAAAAAACCTAGCCAGGTGTGCTTATTTGCTAAACTGTTTTGGAGCCTGGAATCAAAGAGGCATCAAATTCATCTGCACTTCTGCAGTTTACCCTTAGGCAGAATGTGCAGCTTTGTTAGGCAAATTTACGAGCACAATACAACTTCGCGAACCAATAGTGAACCTAGTCATGGATCAAAACAAGATATGCATTGGATGTTGGAACACAGATCGAGAGTTAACCTTGGCTTCCTTTAAAATGCCATTTGGATCACATGTTGCTATCCAACCAAGTCGCCAACCAGGTACAAGCCATCTTTTTGAAATAGATCCCAAGGTGATCACTGGGACGGTCTTCCCAAAAACACCAATAGGTATAAAAGGATTATTCCCAAATGCCAAATGGTCATATACCTCATCAGCAATTATCAGCAAACCAAGTTTCCTGGCGGTCTCGGCAATCTGTTTGTTAAAAGCACATAAATGGCAAATTGCATCACACAACAAAATACCCAGTACCTTACTTGTCCAAGAAATATACTCACTTTTGCCAAATGATCATACGAATACACGCTTCCACAAGGGTTACTGGGATTGATCACGACAATTGCAACAGTGTTCTCATCAGCAATAGCTTGCACACCCTCTAGGTCTACCTCCCAGCCTCTCTCTGGAATGAGATCGAAATGTCGAACCTCTAGATTGCTGAATGTAGTCCGTGATTCATACAATGGAAAGCCGGGTTTGGGAAGTAAGATGTTGGATCCGGGCTGAGCCAAAACAGAGATCATGACTTCGATCGCTTGGACACATCCGGAGGTCAGGTAAATATCATTTGCCGAAAGCTCATAAGGAAGATCTCGAGATAGGTATTCTGCAATAGCACTAAAGTTTAAACAAGTAAATATGAGAGATACACACCATTCAAGATTGAAATCTTTGGGAAAATATCATGCAGTATTGACAAGCAGGAATTTTAAAAAACTGGTATTGCAAGTAAGAGAAGCTAAAATATTTTACAGATGAGCGCCTGACTTAGTACTTTTTTTACAAGAAATGCACAGAGAATTCTTTTATTTAGTTAAGAACAATATGACCATCACCACAAGAAAATAAGAGAGAAGGATATGAACATGCATTCCTAAGTTGGTAAATTGTACTACTATATGGATAAGAAACAATTAGAACACTGCAGATCCTTTTCTTTTTCCTTTGAAATTTTCTGAAATATTGTTCCACACTCTAAACATGCCGATTTACATTTTGTTAGTTATTTAGTGCAACAAAACATCAACAAATTCCCCTTTCTTTCCTCATCAAAATGTTAGGAGTCAAAGCATATCTACATCCATAGAAAAGAGATAAGAATGACAAAAATGGAATCCTATTCCTCCATTTGCTTTTAGTAAAAATATTATTATTATAAAAAGGAATCAAATTTCCAGCTCCATATTGAACCATTCTCCATTAAATTTACCTCGCAGGTAAATTTCAAAGTTTCCAGCTTGGAAGGTTTGAGGCCCTGTTTGGTATCCCAGCAACTTGTCAAAAGTACCTTTTGTTTTTTTCCTATTCTTGAAATAGCATCTCCCTATGTACTCGAATATTTGTCCAAGTCAAGAAAGCACCGGTAAGGCACCAGACAAAATAAATGCTCAATCGGCCAGAAATTGTTTGGTGCCAGGGGAACCAGGGAATCCGGTGAATACACTGTGATGCCGGGTTTGAAAATTCCAAAATAAATCATGGATGTATCATAAATTTAATTTGACAGTCACCATAAACATTGAAGAACTGTTTCCTTTTCTATTTTTTTCTTCTTACCGGAAACAAGAGGTGAAAAAAATATGTAATTACAACTTCGTCGTGCAACCAGTATGTGAATGAGGAGTACCAAACATATCTTCCATGGAAAAAAGAATTCAAACTAGAACCACAAAATAATTAAAGAGAGAAGAAAACAGGAACCAAATAACATAAGCTAAAACATCAAAGAGTTTTCTAACAAAAGAGCTAAAACATCAAACTACACATACTTTATGCAGTTAAATTTGTTGAAAATACTAAAAAAAATCCAAGTATGCAAAATGTTGCCCATAAAAATATTCAAATCTGTTTTTCTGATCAGTCACATACTAGAACATAAGCAGAGCACAGTGTGGCAAGGGGGGGGGGGGGGGGGGGGGCAGCTCACCGGCGCGCCGAGAGGACGCCGACGGTTAGGGAGTAGCCGTTGTGCGCCCCGGAGCGGAGCGCGTCGACGACGGCGTCCTCGGCGGCGGGCGCGGTGCGGTAGCAGGCGGACGCGGTGGGGTCGCCGTTGCCGAGCCGCAGGACGGGGCGCGGCCCGCCGGCGGCGGCGGCGTCGACGGAGGAGTTGACGCGGTTGAGCACCGCGCGGATGCTCGTGAGGCCGGCGGCCGCCAGGGGCCCGCCCTGCGACGACGGCCGGGAGAAGCGCCACCGCGGCGTGGCCTCCGCCCCGTCGTCCCCGCGGCGCTTGCCGCCACCGACACCCTCCATTGTTAGCTCGATCGGATGCCGCTCTTCGAGCGGTTTATCCAAATTTGTTCGTTTCGAAGGTGAACAAAAATGGAAATATATTCTCCCCATATATCGGCGGTGCTGTACCCTGTACTGTACTGGCTGTGCATCGTCACAGATGTCACAATAATTATGGTGATATAGTATTTTTAATAGGAAGAGGTAGAACATCACGTATCACGTGAACGATTTGTTTAACATTATTGGTTCTAAAATATACTCCATCTGTTCAAAAAATAAGCAATTTATATTTTGTATCGGTACTGCTTGTCCGGTTGTTATATCCAGTATCCACAACTCTCATTTATTTAAGGCATGGTTTATATTCAAACTTTTTTCTTTAAACTTTCAACTTTTTCATCACATCGAACTTTCCTACACACATAAACTTTCAATTTTTCTGTCACATTATTCTAATTTCTTCAAACTTCTAATTTTGACGTGGAACTAAACACAGCCTAACTTTTTCTCTTATTACACCAACCACCCTCATACTCAGCCATGCATTTCTAAGTTCCAACGAAGGCTCTGATTAGATTCCAATTTTCTTCTTTAAATTTCTAACTTTTTCGTCACATCGAACTTTCCTACACACATAAACTTCCAACTTTTCTGTCACATTGTTCCAATTTCTTCAAACTTCCTATTTTGGCGTAAAACTAAACACACCTGAAATGGAGTAGTATTTCGTAGTCCTGTCTTGGTCCACAAATGCATATACTGTATGCTCTCTTTCGTTCCATAATGTCATCTAGTGTCCATAGCATTAAATACATTGTCACATAAGTAAAAAATTCTACTCCCTCCTTCCCAAATTGATCATTATGTAATAGAATTCAAAATTTCTAAATTAATCATCATACAACTGCATGGATACGGATTTCATCAGAATATAATTAATGTAGTATAGTATGTGAAAATGTATGTATGCTAGGGTGTAATTGGTATGGGATTTTAATTGATGCATGCATTGTGGGAGAAATGTGTGCATGGTGTCTTTATTGATGCGATTTAAATTGTCCTTGGTCTTGGTGCATAAACTTATATTTGGGAAGGAGGAAGTATGTGGCAAGAGAGTTAACGAGGAGATATGTAAAAAGATGAAGAAATCATTTCTCATGCAAGAAACTATCTCTACACAAGAACCAATAATGAAAATAATAAGGGGATAGATAGATAAAAGGAGAGAGAAGAGAGGTGATTGGATGAGAATTTAATTGAACACACCATCCATTGAATACATAGTTTCTACACAGTGTCTATATGATATGGCAAGTATAGAAACTACTTCATAGTTTTTGGATTATGGATAGCCCAATGTACGAGACCGTTAATTTTTTATCCCAAAATATATAAAATTTAGTATAAATATATAAAACTAAAAGTTAAGATTATATTTTCTTTGATGATAAAACAAGTCAGAACCAAATAAATAGTATTTATATATTTATTTTGAATAAAACAAATGATCAAATATTATAAAACAATTCAACACATCATACATTTTGAGACGGAGGGAGTATGTACCCAAACTTTAACAACACATTATATGATTGAAATATGTTAAAAGCTTAGTATAACTATTTTTTTTCAAAATATGATAATTGAAGAGTTAATTCTAGTGAAAATTGAATCCTATAGAATACCTCATTCTATGGAAGTCCCAACCTTATAGAAAGTTTGATTTGAGTCTTTATCCTTTCTAAAATTGTTGTGTTTTTTTCTACGGTACAATTAAACGGTTATTCTGTAATTTTTTTCTTTTTTAATAATCTTTTTTAGTACTTGCATTCTTATAAAAATTCTGTGTTTTCTTTAGTTCTCTGTTTTAATCCTATATCTATACTTCCTATAAAGTTATAACCCACTAATTCTAAAACTTAACATGCAACCATGCCACATCATCATCCACTAGCAATAATTATATATTCAACCTCATACAAGCAATATCATCTACAATCTATTTAATTCTACAAATCAACATGCGTCCAAACATATTCAATCATCATCTCTCACATCATTTCCATAATATTTTTATAAATATATGTATCATTTTTCGGTAGCGCTATTCCGAGCGCTAGAGCGCGGAATATATATATATATTTGGGAATAGGCGAGGGGCGCATCTTTGTATTAAGAAGGAATAAATAAAAAACACGAAAGGGACAAGATTCAGGAGGGGGGAGGAGGAAGAAAATAAAAGCCTAATCTCCCAACGAATGTGGCGACCTTCCACCCGACATAAGGGTCGCCATGGCCGGTATCGCGGCTCTAGCCAACCGCCAAAGGTCCGCTTCGCCCGTCATGTCCATAGCAATTTCCGCCCATGTCCTGCTCTTTTGGTTGAAGACCTGATTGTTTCTTTTTTTCCAAATCGTCCACGCCACCAAAGTTGCAATGGTGTCGAACCCTCGACGATGTTCCTTGGCCATTCTTTTGCGACTGTCACACAGCCAGGAGTGAAAGGAATGCTCATTGAGAGGCAGACACTCAGAATGACCAATAGCTGAAAGAGCAATCCACCATAGCTGGAATATTGTTCCGAGCACCGCACATCACGCCCAGAGTCCGCAAAAACTGGTGTTTGTTTGCCCACGTTCTATCTGTCTAGATTAGTTCTATTTAAATTTGGGGTAAATCAATTATAGATCCGTAAAATCGGTGGTCGGTTGAAAATAATTGTTGTAATTGGTTTATCTCTGTTTCCAATCAAGGAGCTGAAAGAGCAATCCACCATAGCTGGAATATTGTTCCAAGCACCGCACACCACGCCCAGAGTCCGCAAAAACTGGTGTTTGTTTGCCCACGTTCTATCTGTCTAGATTAGTTCTATTTAAATTTGGGGTAAATCAATTATAGATCCGTAAAATCGGTGGTCGGTTGAAAATAATCGTTGTAATTGGTTTATCTCTGTTTCCAATCAAGGTAGTTACGATATGGTGTGCAACAAACTGAGACCAAATCTTGTAGTAATCGAATTAACATCACGCCCAGAGTCCGCAAAAACTGGTGTTTGTTTGCCCACGTTCTATCTGTCTAGATTAGTTCTATTTAAATTTGGGGTAAATCAATTATAGATCCGTAAAATCGGTGGTCGGTTGAAAATAATCATTGTAATTGGTTTATCTTTGTTTCCAATCGAGGTAGTTATGATATGGTGTGTAACAAACTGAGACCAAATCTTGTAGTAATCGAATTACTGTCGATGTAAATAAAAATTGATGGTGCATGTGCCTGTAGTAATTAGATTAACGACAACCATGATTAGTGAAATCTTGTAGTAATCGAGTTACTGTCGACATAAATGAAAAATGATGGTGCACGTGCTTGTATGTAACGTCTCGCCTCTCCCAGACCGGGCTCGCTTACATCTGGCCGCTTTCATAGGTCATAGATTGCCATCACAGACCAACACAAGCCTTTTCTGCACACTTTGTCGAGACCGGCTTCCGGAAAAGAAGTTGCAACTTATTGATATGAGTATTCTATTAATCCTATTAAGCCCTAGGCTGGGATGTCACACCCTCACCCCCTTAAGAGAGATCGACGCCCCTGTCGATCAACCCAGGCCAGGAACGTCCCCTCTTGGCCACGTCCATGTGTCCAATGCCAGCGCATGTGCCATGCTGTGTGATCACAGACCAACACAAGCCTTTCCTCTTGGCCACGTCCATGTGTCCAATGCCAGCGCATGTGCCATGCTGTGTGACCACTCCGGGTCCACACCAGCCATGCATACCATGCCGCTTTCATAGGTCATAGACTGCCATCACAGACCAACACAAGCCTTTTCTGCACACTTTGTCCTCACTCATGCGCTTTCATAGGTCATAGACTGCCATCACAGACCAACACAAGCCTTTTCTGCACACTTTGTCCTCACTCATGCGCAATCAGGAAGAATTTCCTGATCGGTCACCCATCCCGAAATTGCTCCAAGCTAAGCACGCTTAACCTCAGAGTTCTTTCGAGATCGGCTTCCGGAAAAGAAGTTGCAACTTGTTGATATGAGTATTCTATTTATCCTATTAAGCCTTAGGCTGGGATGTCACATTGTAGTAGTTGGATTATGAACAAGATTGGTTGATCAAATCTTGTAGTATTCGTATTACTGTCGATGTAAATGAAAATTGATGGTGCATTAACTTGTAGTAATTGCATTATTGCTAGCCTTGGTTGATGATTTCTTATAGTGAGTGCATCAATAAGGAGGGAGTTACTGGGGCCTAATTAGTTTATCCCAAATAATACGTGAATAAACTTTTTACTTATTCATTGAATCACTCCATTCAAAATCACAGGACAAAAAATAAAGATTTTACATGCACATCATAGTAAAAGCACAAGAACAAAAATTTTACACACAAACACAGCAATACACGCAATCGCCAGTTCCTTGTGACGGCTGAATGGAGTTTCTGTCCGGGGGGGCTAATGGGCGATCGATCGCCAGGGCGATCGCCCAGCGATCGGATCTGCCCCCCTGCCCCTATAGGCCTCCCACTTCTCCCCTTCCTCATCCCCTTCTTCTCTTCCTACTACAGTACACCACAAAAATTTTTTAAAGAAACAAAAGTTAGAAAATTTATGTATAGAAATATTATATATAAAAAATTTGAATTCAAATTCAAATTTGAATTCAAATTCAAATTTGAATCGGGTATGTAAACTTTTGACTTATAAACTTTGGATCTATAAACTTTAGGTGTATAAACTTTAGATGTATAGAAATACTATATATAGAAAATATTTGAATTCAAATTCAAATTTGAATAGGATATAATTCAAATTCAAATTTGAAACATGTATATAAACTTTAGGTCTATAAACTTTAGGAGTATAAACTTTAGATGTATAGAAATACTATATATAAAAAAATATTTGAATTCAAATTCAAATCTGAATTGGATATATAAACTTTTGACTTATAAACTTTTGGTCTCTAAACTTTAGATGTGTAAACTTTAGGTGTATAAACTTTAGATGTATAAATTTACTAAAATAGGAAAGTAATGCGGTGCCAAAAAAGGAAACTAGGTGGAGGGGTGGAGGGGGGGTGAATCTGATCGCCCTGGGCGAGCGAGGGCGATCGCTCACCCAGTAGCATTTCCGGTTTCTGTCCTGCTAGAGAGAGCTAGCAAGAAGACAAAGCGGCGGAGATGCAGGCTGGAGCCAAGGCAGCACCAAGTCTAGCCGCTGCGACCTCGGTAGGAGCCGGATCCGGCGACGGAGCCAAAGATGGAGGTCGTTGTTGCTGTTGTCACCGCCTCACTGTCATAAACTGGGGAATGACAGAGGTGATGAAACAAATCACAGTTTCTTGCCGATGTTACCAAATCGATTAACCATCACAAACAGGATCTCCGCCATGCAAGGGAGAATAGAGAAGCACGCCAAAATGAGTGCTCAACCCAATCGAAGTCAGACTGCATACAATCAAGAAGGATAAAGAATTTAATTAATCATAGATTATATACAATTCTTGCAAGAAATAAAGAATCTCATTAGGAATTGTTGAGAGAACTCACCGTCCTCATGACGTCCACCTCGTTTGCCATGGGCCAGACGTCTCTTCAGCATCGATCTGAAGCAGATGTTGCTGCAGTGAGGCCTGAAGCAGTGCCTTCGCCTCAAGCGTCGCCGGCCACCGTTCACCGGCCACCGCCATCAACTGCCACGGTGTCGTCGTCCTCCTCCATGGTGCGTCGCCGATCTGTGGGCTGGGATGGTGGATCGATTGAGATCTGGAAAAAAAGGAAAAAAAATGAAGTGGGGGCGAGAGGGGTTGGTTGGGTACGGGCAAAATAGAATATATACCAGAAGTAGAGAGGTTGTTTTTATCGGAGTAAATCATTTACTCCGATAATGGTGGGAGCACGATGCGGGACGTGGGGTGGGATCGAAAGGGAAGTTGTTTTTATTATCGAAGTAAATCGTTTACTCTGATAACGGTAGGAGTGGGATGAAGGGACGTGGGGTGGGATCGTAACCAGGGAAGTTGTTTTTATCAAAGTAAATCGTTTACTCCGATAACGGTGGGAGCGGGATGATGAAATGTGGGGTGAGGTGGGCCTGGCTGATACACGTTTGGCGCTTGGAATATAGGAGCGTGCAGTGCTCCCAATAGTAGTTCTAATCTTTTTTATAATATTTAACATAAACTTATCAATATGTTCCACATTGAAGTGCGAGATTCATTTGTTTGTTTTATGCTAAAAACTGTAAGACCTGATATTTCATTTGTTTTCCTTTTACCCTTGGCTTGATTGTAAAAAAAAATATATATTGAAAAGTACTAAGTAATCCCCGTAGCAAGACGCTGGGAATCACTTAGTTTTAAAGGAGGCCTAACTGTTATACAATGGGATCGGAATAGTACTATACAATTAAAATTTTGGAGTCTAATTTACTTAATCACTTAATTTTTCTCCTAAACATGATCATCGATCTGGTGCTTAATGCAAAATTTTGATATAACTGACCTTCTTGTGAAGCCATTGAAGCCGTTCAATCGGTTTTGCTTGTTGTTCTTCCTTTCTCTTTTCTTATTCTTCGTCTACTTTGCTTGTTGTTGTTATTCCTTTCTCTTTTCTTATTCTTATTCTTTGTCTGCTTTGAATAGCATCTTAGCCGGGGCAGAGATGTCGGCTTCTCTGTTGACAAAAAGAAAACTTGTAGAGATCACCTCATGAACCCCTTCTAGCATCGAGTCGATCGGGCGACTTAGGGTGTGTTCGGCTGTCCAACTGAGTGGTTGTGCAGTGCTGCTGCTGCAATAATTATGGTAGAAATTGTATGTTTGCTACTGTGGTTGTTGGCTGCCATCCTGTCACACCAAACAGGCCCTTAAATTAGTGTTTTAAAATCAAGACTTCTGGTGTCTTCAGGAGCGGCGCGGTGCACCCGTCATCGTCGGTGCATCCCTTGTCAAAGCCTTCCATCCATTTTCCGATCATCGTTGTTTGCTTCCTCTCCTACTGCCTCACATCTGCCGCTGCTGCTATGTAGCCACTCCCGCTTTCCGCGGCCTCAGGACGCTGGCATGCTTCAATGCCTCGCAAGGGAACGAGGCAACCGATCATGCTGGGATATCGGGAGTTCGGGACTAGGGATTGGCCTCCGGTAGCCCGACAAGTGCCTTATCCAGTCCCTCTCACTCTTCTCTGCGTAGCGTGAGTGCTGGAGAAAACATGGGAAACAGTAGCAGCATGCATGGGTAGCTTTTGAATGTGGATTTGGATAAATATCTATATCTATACTAATATAAAAAGAAGTTGCCCCCCTCCAATGCTACAGGCCAAATCATCCCCCAATCATCTTTGTCCTCAGCCGTCCGATCTGTTGATCCAACAGCGAAATCACCGATTCCGCCATCCCACCACCACACAAATCCACCGCGCTATCTACGCCCCCACGCTCTCCCCGCGCGATGACTCCGCCGCCGCGCCTCCTCGCGCTGCTCAGATGCGCGCTGCGCCTCCCGACGCTTCCTCCCTCCAGGCCGCCGTCGTCATCGCGCGGTCCCGACCCCTCCAGTATCCCCCCCATCCCGCCTCCTCCTCCACCGCGTCGCCGATGGTTCCATGTCGTCGTCGTCGTCGCGCGGTCCCGGCCAGCTGTCCACCGCGCCGTCACAGATCCAGCCATCCCTCATACCGGACTCCCCCATCCCGACGGCCCCATCCCAGCGGCGAGGAGGCGCCGTCGCGCGGGAGATGACTGGTGGGGAGAGTGAAGAGGGAGAGGCGGATGGCAACCATCCCTCTGTCACGCTCGCTCTCCAATCCCCCTTCACAGTCGAGCCCTGCGTCGTCGCCTTCCCCCGCCGATGCCACCACATCAAGGCACCTCACGCATGGAGCTCTTTCCCCGAAGCCGGATGCAATGGCCGGTCCCTCGCTAAGGCGCCCAGCAGATCCGGCCAGTTGCCTCAGCAACAGAGAGTCCACGGACCTCTCCGCTGCTCTGTAAGAGGATCTGGACTCTTCTGCCAACGAGGCCACTGTCTGATCCACCATCGTAGGGGATTCTTTCCGTTCCCTAAATGCACCACATATCTTCCCCTCCGGAAATTATTTTTTTCAAATGAAATTGATAGAATACCAATGGCTGTTGTAACAAGGTAATTTGCCCTCAACCTTTAGCTTTTCAAATTAGAATCAATTTAATTACTTCTTTGTTTACGCGCATCATTTTACCCTAAAGACTGATGCTTGCACTGATGTACCATGTTGTCATGGGGGATGATCTAGACGTGAGGACTGACAAGCCATCTCTTGATATGTTTCTTGCTGAGATGAGGAGGTTCGAGGTATTGCCATGTAAGTGCTCTCACCTATAATGTTCTTTATACTAAACACAATATTATAATTTTACCTGGCACAAGTGCATTGCATGTTGTTCGGGTCAATTTGGAACCAGTATTTCAAGCTCCTTCTTCTGTAGCAGCAGTTAAAAATTGCTGGAATGTGACTTCGCTCCTCCTCGCTCCTGTGTACTGCCGCCACGCCGCCGCATCCTCGCCGGAGCCACTTTCTTCTCCATCCACCGCCGGAGCCGAGGTCCATCTTACAGTTTAATTCCTCACTGAATGTTGACTATCCCTGCCAATCCATCACACGATTCCCTCTGAATGCTAATCCATTCAATTAATTTCCTGCACTGGTAATATCTCTCCCATAGTGGGGAATCATGTGTCTTTTGTACAAATTACATAGGTTATTAAACTGGATTCTCCATTTCACTTTAGAAGTTGATTTTCTTGCTTTCTTGGCTATATTTCCTGTCATCACATCTTACATTTACAAGTAGGAACGAAATGATGGCCGACTACCTTCTTGATCACTGCGATGTGCCCCTTCGCTTCAAGGATATGCATAAATCCAAGGTGATTCTCATCTTCCAAATCTTTATCTCGATATTTCCCCTAGGAATAAAAGATTCCAAACCCATATTCACCTATTTACAGTGAGCATTAGGATCATTTTATAGAAAAAGATATCGAGGTGATCTAGAAGTTATTATACATTAGGTCTGCTGCTTCATTATAATAGATCATATGTGTATTTCTGAATATATCTTCTTTGTTTGGTTTTTCCCAGTCCGGCACTCTGCTACTATTCTAGGTACCGGACTACAACCTGTAATATTATTTTGCGGTGTACTGATTGGGTGGTTAGATTTCAAAAGCAATTTCAAATTATCTGTCCTGTCCAATAACTATTGCCAGATTACCCAGGTGCCATGTACAATACTATTTTTTTTTAAAAAAAAGTGGCACTGAGGAAGTTTGAGAACCAGTATGTACTCCTACCAATGAATATCACATCATGGTGTTTCAGGTTTTGTTTAAGTTTGGAAAGAAAATATACATAATTTGTGGCAAATAATGTTCAGATTTGCAGATTAACATGCTACCAAGGTCAAAACTGTATGTAATACATGCAAGTGTCAGATTTTTTTTGTTCCCCTACTTTACTAAAACTGTAAATTAGGTTTATAACGTGTTTCTGATATATAACAATAAGAGAAATCATGATATCAAAAAGTATCTGTTAATGCTATAAGGCATCTGAATATATTGGCTTACTTCTATTGTTTATAATACAGGTTGACATTGTGGCCAACTGGAGATTTTGGTAAAATCCTATCATGTTTCACCATGGCATTTCACTGTTTGGCGCACGGTATTTAGGAGCTATTTGTATAGTAAATGCTGGAGTATTGAAGTAAATTATATGTTCAGCTTATTAACTGCATTGCGATAAGCTTTGATCTAGATCCGGTTTCAATTTTCATTTGTGTGGTCGCATCCTTTAATTTATATAGCTTCATAAGAGTATACTCCGAAGTACATGCCGTTTTATGTATTTTTATGCCTTCATATTCTGATTGTCTAATGGCTCTAAAACAACAGACGGGTGGCCTCATCAGGCGAATTGCTCCCTATGCAACCTGACATTTCAAGATGACACCCAACCTTTTTGTTCAATGTGCTTTCACAAACAGGATTTGGAGATTGCTCAGGAGCTAGGTGAATGTTGGCTTTCCGCTTCCCAGTGACCTCAATGTAGACTTGGCTGATTGGCAGATGGCTTCAAGGAGAAGCTTCAGAGATTATCTCAGAAAAGTTTTTGGTACACTCTTCTTCTTCAGAGATTGTCTCAGCAAGTTGTATGGTTGTGCAGCTCTTTGGTGACATCAAAGAAGAAATCACAATCTGGAGGGAGGCAGGCTTCATGGTAGGCGAAAAACGATTGGCATTATTCCTTTTGTAGTTTTTTCTCTCCCGCTCTTTGTAACCGGTTTTGACAACTTCGTGTGGACGCTTAGTTTGTAACACCATCTCATAATCTTAATGAATTTGCTTAGCCTACTCTTGGGCCAGTCTGGCTAAAATAAATGTAATCAGAGTTACACTTTATTTGTTGGAAACATAACTTGTAAAATAAAACTAATCATTTTTATCCTAACAAAAGGCTGCTCAATGCTGCAATAATTTCTGTTGAAAAAGGAAGTGGCAAAACAACATGTCTTTTGCTACTTTGTTCTGTCTGTTTTTCTTGAAGAATTCTCTAATTTTATTGTGATTAGTCTTTTGAAAAGGCTATATTAAAGAATTTCTTATTTTGTTTTGGTTCTTTCTATATGCACAAATTAATAGCTCTATAAATTCAATAGTTGAAGAGAAGCAATGTTCAGAAAAGTTGAATATGCACTTGATATATATGTGTTAATAAATTACCTTTCAAAGTATGTGTACTTTCTAATTTTTAAATGTGACTATATATTTTCTTGATATATATTATGACAAACGTGCTTTGCACGTGCATGATAACTAGTAAGCACGAATCTTAAAGATAAATCTTATGGCCTTGCAGCAAGTCACTTTATTCGAAAATCAACGGGATGAAATAACTTGACTCTCATGGCATCGGGAAGCTACTCAGCTAAGTCGGCGTACATGATGCAATTTGAGGGCACAAAGGCGAAGCCTTTCAAGCGCATTGTTTGGGAACCTTGGGCACCGCCCAAATGTAAGTTCTTTGCATGGCTAATACTGCAAAACGAAGTATGGAGAGCAGATAGACTTCAAAGGCGTGGCATGGCAAACCAGCCGCTATGCCCTCTGTGTGGGACAACGCTGGAAACGTCGTTACACCTCCTAGCAAAGTGACGGCTTTCCATCAGGATTTGGAAGGAAATGGAGCGCTAGACATGCTATGATCTGCATCTATAGGATTGGCAAGAGTATGACACAGCGGTGCAGTGGTGGGAGGGATTCGTTTCAATTCCTGGAATACCGAAGAAGCCCCTAAAAACGTTGATCATCATGGTTTCATGGATACTATCGAACGAAAAAAACGCAAGGATCTTCCGGAATACGGCGCAAACGCCCACAGCTCTGATCCAGGCCATCAAAGATGGAGCTGCACTTTGGTATAGGGCAGGCGCCCGATGCCTAACTGAGTTTGTACCGTCGGGAGAGTAAGCCTTTTCCCTTTCCTTTTTGTGCACTATCACTTTCTTTAAGCAAGCCTTGTACATAAAGGTGGGAGGGATTCGTTTCAATTCCTAGAATACCGAAGAAGCCCCTAAAAACGTTGATCATCATGGTTTCATGGATACTATAGATCGAACGAAAGAAACGCAAGGATCTTCCGGAATATGACGCAAACGCCCACAGCTCTGATCCAGGCCATCAAAGATGGAGCTGCGTATAGGGCAGGCGCTCGATGCCTGACTGAGTTTGTACCGTCGGGAGAGTAAGCCTTCTCCCTTTCCTTTTTGCCGGCTGTCACTTTCTTTAAGCAACCCTTGTACATAAATTGAGGCCATGCCCTCCTCTATTAATACATAAGGCAAAGTCTCTTGCCTTTCCTTCAGAAGAAAAAGAAAAATCTGGTTGACAAATCAAAATAAAACAACCGACGGTTGTGCAGCAAGTCCATTTTTTTTAATTACGATTGGGTTTTTCTTTACTAATTAAACTTACTTTCCCATGAATTTCATTGAAGTTCACATAGAAGTTTCAGTGTTGGATTTTATAGTCCAGAACTTTTTCTTGAAAAAAAAAATTGTAGCCGTAAAGCATTTAAAAAAATAAGCCCGAAAATAATACTAGAAAAGAAAGAATATAAATGCAAAAATGCCAAGCACATGTTGTCATGTGCCCTTCCAAGCAGACTATCCTGTATATACCATATAACAATACAAGGATTGTTTGCTAACCACCCATATCAGGTGGTGCCCCGTATCCGTGGAGGGCACCTTATAACGACGTAATAAACTTGCAATGCTAACGATATGGTACAAATCAGATTATACCGGGACCACAATATGTTTACCGCTAACTCCGTATCCAAATTTGGGCCTGCACAGGGTTGTCGGCCCACTAGAAGCTACCTCCGTATGCAAAGGCCCACCGAGAGGAAGCGAGATGGCGGAGATCCGATGGTCAGCACGGTGGACGCGTCATCATCATCAGAAATTTGGTGCCCCAAGCTGAACACAGTGTCCAAAAAAATGTTGACTATCTGGACTGATCAACTGGCAACAAAGTTTATCACAAATATATATATGCATGAGCCATATTCATATGAAAAATGCAATGCCTCGTGAACTTAAATTTGATTTCGAATATATAATAACTAATAAGATACACAAGTTCCTCGATTGAGGAATTTGACGACATAATGTGTGCTGATTTAAGTGTCCAACTTGATTCAACTTTATTCTCACATGATGCCGGTTCTACACATCCATGAGTACGGATGCTGAAAGCCTGAAACTATTCACGAGCTAGCTGGCTTCCTTGATTTTACCATGCCTCTTGCAGAAACACTTGGTTCTCTCTAGACCATCCTCTAGTAATTGTGGATCAACCGCGAAGGTTATCCGGAGCCAATTCTTCATCCCTAATCCACTCCCTGCAGTGAATTACATTTACACTGTTTTATTCATCTTCCATTATCTGAAAATACATACTAGTCGCGGCAAAATTCAGACAGAGTAAAATGGTCAGGTCATTCCTGACACTGAAATGCGTTCAGTGACAGAAACACAACCATCAGATGATCTACAGAAACATATCCATAATTTACCAAAACCAGTAAATTAAACTGATGTTCTAATTACTGTAATTACCTGGGCAGATGACCACGGATTCCTCCTTGGCCAGCTTGCTGCAGAAGTCGACGTCGTCCTCTATGCCATCTAGGGAAGACAGGTCCAGCTTCGCCATGACGAACATGGAGCCCTCCGGCTTGTGAGGGCAGGTGATGCAGTCGATCTCCTTGAGCTTCTCGTAGCATATCTCCGCCGCCTTCTTCACCACCCCAAGGGCATTGGTGAAGAACGCATCGTCCGTCTTCGCGAGGATGTCGGGCAATGCTCCCTGCTCGATCGATCATTTCCATGGCGTCATCGTCACAGCTAATTAATTGATCTTCAGAGAAGCGAAGATGCGCGACAACTGAATTTGGATGTGTACTGACCTGAACAAATGTTACGGGATCTACCGAGATGGCTCGGTAGTCAATGACTGAGTCGATGATCTGTGGAGACAGAGAAATGATCCATGAGGTAGTTGATCAAGTTTTTCAAATCAATTGCATTTTGGTCAGTGTTTTAAATAGCGGGCTAAGATATTTAGTGGTTGAACTTCTCAAGCAGCTATAGGTAGGTTCTATTTGTGGGTTGGGGGGGGGGGGGGAGCAACTAGTGAGAATCTGAAGAAGCTCCTAGCTTCTGGATTCTTTAACTATAGCTTCTCGATCAGAATCTGAGTAAAAATATGTATTTTTTAGGAGCTTCTGGTAGCTAGAGATTTTAGGAGAAGCTGTAGCTGCCAAAAGCTCTCCCAAACAATAGTGGACTAAATGAGGCTATAGTAGCTAAATTGTATATGAGAGTAAATAGCTACTCCCTCCGTTTTAGGTTATAAGACGTTTTGATTTTGGTCAAAGTCAAACTGCTTTAAGTGTGACTAAGTTTGAAGAAAAAAATAATAACATTTTTAGCCCAAGATAAATTTATTATGAAAATATATTCAATTATTGATTTAATGAAACTAATTTGGTATTATAAATATTACTATATTTGTCTATAAGTTTAGTCAAACTTTAAATAGTTTAACTTTGACCAAAGTCAAATCGTCTTATAATCTGAAACGGAGGGAGTAGATCCTTCTCAAACAGTTATAACCAGGGATTTAGGGCATGTTTGGTTGGTTATTTAAGCGCCCTCAACTTAACAAGTGTGGCGGACGATTTAAGCGCCACACATTCAATGAAGAAACATGCGGTAGAGTAGTTCATCGCTGTTGAATTTTGTGCGGTAGTCTCAGGTGCAATAAACAAACAAACAGTGGGCTAACTATCTGTGGCACGCCTAACTTGAAGTGCGGCAAGAGGAGGCAACCATCCAATTAACAGGCCCTTAAAACCATGATTCTGGCTAATTGAGAAATTTAGACAGCAAGCAAATTAAGCACCTTCTTGTTCCTGAGGATTCCGTTGGGATCGGTGGCGGCGATCCAGCCGAGGCGCCAGCCGGGCACCATCCACCGCTTGGAGATGCCGCCCAGCGTCATCACCGGCGCCACGTCGCCGAACACCCCCATCGGCACGAACGGCTTGCTCCCGAACGCGAAGTGGTCGTACACCTCGTCGCTGATCACCATTATCCCCAGCTTCCTCGCCGTCTCTGCGATCTAGTACGTACAGATATTAATCCGGTTATGTATTACGATTTGTCATCATCGCCGATCCGAATTGATTTGATCAGATGTATTAATCAATCAAAACCTTGGCGAGGTGGTCGCGGGAGTAGACGCAGCCGCAGGGGTTGTTGGGGTTGACGATGACCATGGCGACGGTGTTGGCGTCGGCGAGGGCCTCGACGCCGGCGAGGTCGACCTCCCACTCGCTGTCGGGGAGGAGGTCGAAGTGGCGGAACTCGAGGCCGCTCAGGGCGGCGCGCGACGCGTACAGCGGGTAGCCGGGCCGCGGGAGCAGCACGTTGGCGCCCGGCGACGCGAGCACGGACATCATGATCTCGACGGCGTGGTTGCAGCCGGCGGTGAGCACCACGTCCGCCGGCGAGACGGCGTAGGGGAGCTCCCGCGACAGGTGCGCCGCCACCGCGCTGCACATATTCAATCAAAGCTAGCCATGAGGACGATATCGACTTCTCTTTAGAGTTCAAACCAATTTCATCTCTTCCTGTCACGAAAGAATTTCTTGAACCGAAACTCAAAAAACAAACAAATATTTGCCCTTATAATATGAGATGCAGGTAACGGATATTTCTCCTTTTCAAGGCAGCCACAAAATTGAGCCCATAACCGTCGGTACTAATTCATGAAATATATTCTATTAGTATGAGATTTATGCGTTTGAAAATCACCTTATAGTATGTAGACAAAGTGCTAATTCCTACCGAAATATATTCTATTACTTCTGAAATTGGAAGGTGACCTGGAAAAATTCTTAAAAATCATGAATTTCAGATGCCTTTGTTACGATGCCAGTCTAAAAAGAAAATCTCAAAATCCCCTCAATCCGCACATGGTTATCTGAAAATTAGTGGGGTGGCATGAAGTCGGCATCGCATCATCGCTCAGATCGGAAATCAAATCAGAAGCTAGCATCTCTGGAGTCTTGACACTGAAATACTACTATTTCTGGACTGATTGATTGGAATCTCATTAGTTAATTACCGACTGATCGATCACTAGTCACCACGCCCTATATCTTTTATTGCCAGTGGCTGGTCAATGGGAAATAATTGAAGAGTCTTATTTATGTTATTTTTTGTCCGCATATTGATTTGATAGTACTATTTGTAGTTGAGCATTTTCTAGGTTGTCCACAGGGCTATGTTACTACTCTGCAGCTGTGTTCTTGGGTGAGCGTTGGAAACCCTCACCTCCCGCACAGAAAACAGCGCAATGGATTTGTGCACGATAAATTAAGTATTAGCTAAAAAAATATTAAAAAATGGGTTAGTATGCTTTTTAAAAGCGACTTTCCTATAGAATTTTTTTTAAAAAATTACACCATTTAATAATTTAAGAAGCATGCGCGTGGAAAAAAAATAGAGGATGGGAACAAGCAGCGCCGAACAGTGTAGACAGTTTGAGAAGGGGTAGAGAATATTAGAAAGATACTGTATGATTAATTGAGTATTAATTATTTTAGATTTCAAAAATAGATTAATGTGTTTATTTAAAGCAACTTTCCTAGAGAAAATTTTTATAAAAAACACACCGTTTAGTAGTTCGGGAAGTGTGCACGCGGTAAACAAGAGAAATCTTCTCTCTATTACCGGCTGCCGAACGCAGGTGCCTGTACATCACTGTTTTAAAAATAATAATATAGCCAACTACTTACTATATAGATATTTATAGTTTATCTCTCAGCTTACTCATATAGTGATTAACTTTTCACTATAAATATATGGCCCACCTATCTTTCCCACATATTTTATTGGTTCCTTTGCCTAAGCTGGCTGTAAAATTACAGCCCGCTTCTCATCTCTCTCCTCTCCTCTCTCATCCACTTCAGCATTCAGTTTTCTTATAGCGCTCTATAAGAAAACGATTTGTGTCAGAGCTTTGTTCTTGTCTTAGGGTGCTTTTATATTCCCTACATTTCGCTTATACAACTTCATTGTTTGGTGCTTTCTTTTATTCTATACGTTTTTCGAAAACTTTTTATATTGATGTTTCTTTTTAGAAAAATCAAATAAACATATTTTTAAGTTTGTAATAGTTAATACTCAATTAATCATGCATCAAAAGTTTATCTTGTTTTGTGCGTCGTCATAAAGCTAAGTTGAACCTCACATTTGAACTAGGCCTTAATTGAAGATACTCTATTTATTTCATATTATAAGACGTTTTAGCCTCTCTTTTTTTTTTGTCTAAACTAACATTCATATGAATTTAGGGCCTGTTTACTTTGATGCCAAAAAAAACCTTACCAAATTAATGCCAAAATTTTGGTATAGTTGACAAAATTTTGGTAAGAATTTCTTATATAGTTACCAAAATTTGGCAGCAAACTAAATGTAGCTATTTTTTTTGACAACTTCATCAAAATTTGGTAAGGTTGAAAATGGCATCAAAGTGAACAGGCCCTTAGAAATATATCTGAAGCACATAAATAGATCCATGGATGATTGTATTTAAAACTAAAATGGCTTACAATGTGAAATAGAGAAAGTACTTATTTGCACATGGAGGATAATTAGCACTTCATGTTCCAGTTGGAATGATTCAAGAGGAGATAGAAAGATAGGTATAGAGAGGTAGTTTGAGTTGTTGGAATGTTTTTATTTAGAGAATAAAATACACTCCTAAAATCAGGCTGATTGAGTAGTGACTTCTTTAGTCTAAAATATTATCTTCTGATGAAAACCATAGAAAAGATTGATTTCATTGAAGAAATATTATCGTATATAAAATTATATGATATGCGATTTTTTCTATAATAAATTAAATCAAACATTAATTATGTAGCTAGCTAGTGTCTACTCCTCTGTCATAAAATTTAGCTATTTCTCTTTTTTTTTCATGTGATTAATTGAGTTCGGCCTTGAAATTCTGTAAAAATATATGTACAATGTACCCTATGCTAAAGTGTGTGCTAATTTATATATATAAATTTGAATATTTGGCCAAAATTCACCACGCGTATTCACATTTTTCACACGATATTTCATCCAAGAAAAACGTATGATCTGTCATCCACTTTTGCACGCGACGACGTACCTGCACGCCGGGGCGATTCCTACGGCGGGGGAGTAGTAGTTGTACTTGCCGGAGGCGGCAGCGGCGGCGACGGCGTCCGTGGCGGCGGGCGCGGCGCGGAAGCACGCGAACGCGGAGGGGTCGCCGTGGGCGAGTGGCGCCACGGGCCGCGCGTCGCCGCTCCCGTCGAGGCAGCGGTAAATCCGTGTCACGGCCGCGCGGATGCTCTGCGACCCCGCCACCGCCAGCGCCGGGTTCGCCGCGCCGAACCGCCACCCCGCCGTCTCGCCTTCGCCGCCGGCGCCGCCGCTCTCCATGGTGGTGGAGCAGAGCAGGGGAGAAGACCAGAAGAGGGTGGTGTGCGTACAGCGCGTGTCACAATCTGTTTCAATTCTTTGTAGTTTTTGTAAGTAGGGATCAAATTTGACCCATATTGCTGGAATTTTTTAAGGATCTCGAGATGATCAATCTTGTTGGGGGCGATCATGTCCTTGATCAATTTAATAATACACTACTTGTCAATTAACTGATTCTATGATTAACTTATGGTGTTAGAGCATATTCTTCAGCACAAAATTTACATGGGCAATGCTCCGAGTGCTGGTATGACCATGATGCTTCAGATTGACGTGTCATGTGTGCCAACGTGCCATTAACACAAGCAATGTGTATTTTTTAAAGGTAATGTATTCTAAAATTACATTTAGCCTCTACGTCTAAACACGTGCATAGAGAAAAGAAACAAGAAAATTAAGACGATACGAACGTATCGACCTGCATTACAATAATGTCATTTTAAGGGAAGTGGAGAGTTTCATTTCACGGTTACCAAGAGTGTCATGTCATCTAATGAGATTTGAATTGATGAATGAAATAAGATCTCTAACATAGAATTTCATTTTGCAATTTCGTAGGTTCATCATAACATTTAATAGCAATACATGGGATTGGATGAGATTAAACTTTTTATCTCTCTTTATAATTATATTGTCATGTCACCAAATCTGCTAATATGGTACTCCCTCCGTTTCAAGTTATAAGACGTTTTAACTTTGATCAAAGTCAAACTGCTTAAACTTTGATCAAGTTTATAGGAAAAAGTAATAACATTTTCAACTCAAGACAAATTTATTATGAAAATATATTTAATTATTGATTTGACGAAACTAATTTAGTATTATTAATATTACTATATTTGTCTGCAAACTTAGTCAAATTTAAAATAGTTTAACTTTGACCAAAGTCAAAACGTATTGTAACCTGAAACGGAAGGAGTATGCTATTTATTGAGAATAGAACTCCTGTATGAAACTACTATTGGGATTGGCCTAAGTTGCTATCTTATAACACCTTTTAGAACGAACTGTCATTAACCAACCTAACTATTAGTGCGTTATTTTTCTCCACACATTTTTATCACCTACTCCCTCCATAAAACAAATAAAATAAATTCAAATCCTGGTTATGAAACTGGATAAGTATTTGTTCAGGTTCATAGCGAGGATTTAATTCTTCCTGTGATGGAAGGTATAATTTATTATATTTTTGTTACAGTGATTTTCGGAGATTCGTTTCACTCAATGTTAATCAACATTGAGTGGTAGTACGAACTAAGCACTGGAACCTTCCGTTTTAGCAAGTTCCAGTGGTAACTTATCAAATCTGATAATAGAAGCAGTGATATGCAATTTCTCTTAGAATATCTGGTTCTCCAAACAACCTAGATTCTTACCCAATCTCTAAGAATCTATAGTTATATAAAAAATAAACTAGAAATCAGAAACTGTATTGCTACCAACCAACTACATCTTAGAATCTTAACCTATTCCAAATAAAACCGTAGATTAAAAAGGGCACAACAAACCAACAATTTGATAGAAGCATGGCTATGTGTTAATTAACAAGAGCATGGCAAACCAACAATTTAAACCAAGTATTTGCAGGGATAAGAATTGTTAAGTGGCAACCGAGCAAGAGCATGGCAAACCAACCATTTGAACTAAGTGCTTCAGTGATAGGGAAGGGGAAATGTAATGCTCATTATCCAAGCAAATTTTACTGAAACACGACTCCAATACAACGGTCTTGCTTTCGTATTCGTTACGCGTAAAATTTTCGAGTTCGACTTCTAAACAGTTTTAGTTCGTACCACTAGTACAGAAAAGATTTTTCCATACAGGCATTTTGATTTCTCTGTGCGGTTATCCGGCACCCTGTAGCCGGCTGTCTGCGAAAATTAATATTTTCGCGTGCGGGTGGGTCGACCGCACGGGATAATCGATTATCCCATACGGTTGTGTTATACTGCCCGCACGGACCAAAAAAACCAAAAATAAAAAACAAAAGGAAAAATCGCTCGAGCGCCACCGCCTCGCTCCAAAAAAACCAAAAATAAAAAAAGGAAAAATCGCTCGAGCGCCACCGCCTCGCCGCTCCCCGCCGCGCCCGGCCACCCCGGCGTTGCCGGCCGAGTTGCCGTCGTCCTCCTCCGCTTCGCCTTCCTCCTCGACCACCGTGACTAGCTTGGCACCGAGCGTGGCCATGCCGGACAGGAAAGACGCCACCGACAGGAAAGACGCCACCGAGCCGGTGGAGCGTCTGATGGTGGTGGTGGCCGCGGCTTGGTGGAGAACGTAGTTGGCGACGAGCGGGGTGGGAGCGTTGAGGAGCCCCAGGCCGCCGCCGCGCCCGGCCGCCGCCGCCTCGGCCTGGCCGCCGCTGTTACGCTCGGCAGCCGTCTCGCCCAGGATGCCGCCGCGCCCAGGCCACCGCCTCGCCTAGCCGCCACCTTGGCCCGGCTGCCTCGCCCAGCCGCCGCCGTCGCGCCCGGCCCCCGCCTCGCCCAGGGGAGGGGGAGGAGGAGGGGAATCTGGCCGGGGAGGAGGGTGGGAAGCCGACCGGTTGAGGGGTTGAGAAGAGGTTGAGAAGAGATAAGGTAGAGAGAGAGAGGTGGGAGCCGGTTGAGAAGAGATAAGGTAGAGAGCCGGTTAGGTGGGAGTGGTTGAGGGAGAATAAAAGGGAAAAAGGAGGAGAGAGATAGGAAAAAATTGAAGTGGGTGAGAGGGAAAGGAGGGAGGAATATCCCGTGCGGTTGGGATAGGACGTCCGCACGGGAAAATCGATTTTTCCCATGCGGACGACACCCCAGCGCCGGTTCCCTATTTTTCCGTGTGGTTCCACTTACAGACCGCATGGAAAAAAAAGGGGGGGCGTCCAGGAAAATCAATCGTGTAGTAGTGTACTAACAAATTAGATAAATTATGCTATAGGTCATCGTGACTTTATGGTTTTAGCTATAGGGCACCACGCGGAGTGACTTTGGGGAAGATACTCTTAAAAGTTAGATATTCGCTGGTAGACACCGCACCCATTAAAATAATAATTTTTAGTTTAAGAGAAGAGAGAAATCACGTGAAAACTCTGAAATGCCCTTGGGCCCATATGTCAGATCTGTAATCTCTCTATCTCTATCTCTTTCTCATGTGCCTCTATCTCTTTCTCAAGCACACGCGCATGAGAAGAGGAAGAAGAAGGGGAAAACGAGGCCTCGTGTGCTTGAGAAAGAGATGATATAGAGAGATTACAAATCTGACATGCGGGCCCAAGAGCATTTCAGAACTTTCACGCGATTTCCCTCTACTCTTTAACGGGAAATTATTATTTTAATAGGTGCAGTGTCCACCGGTAAATATCCAACTTTTGAGAGTGCTCCCCCAAAAGTCACTTCGCGCGTTGTCCTATAGCTAAAACCACAAAGTCACGATGTACTGTAGCAAAATTTGCCAACAAATTAATAAGGTGATACGATACTTTGCTACTGGTTCTTGCTTGGTTGCTATGTACCATTTTTGTGAAAATAGTCAACTTTTAACTTCCTTAAATATATTTTTGATCTGTATATTTTTGATCTGGTTTATATCTTAGATGGTGTTTAGTAAGGCTCCAATTCCTGGATTTAACTCAAGAGCTGAGAATAAAGTGGAGTTATGAAGCAACCTAAACACAACTCCACTTCTTTAATTTATTTTGCAAGAGCACTTCAACCAACTATACTTTTATTTTGGGTGGAGATGAAACTGTTTGGCTGGACTCCAACTCCAAAAAACCAGATATAACGACTATTCTAACTTTTAAAACCGGTGCAAACCGGATATAACGACAAGGAATAAGTTCACTGGAGGTCCCTTAATTTAACAGCGAGATTTTTTAAGGCCCCTTAACCACAAAACCAGAAATCTTCACCCCTAAACTATACAAAACCGTTCATCGGAGGTCCCTCGGCAGTATTTTTGCCCGGTTTTACTAACGTGGCATCCTAGTCAGCAATTTTTTTTTAAAAGTACTTGGGCCCACATGTCAGCTGCATATTCTCTTTTCTCTTCTCTTCTTTGGAGAGGCGGGCAGATGCGGGTGCGGCGACCGGCGGCGGTGCGGGCGTGGCGGGGCGTGGGAAAGAAGCAGGAGAAGAGGAGAGGAGGCGGGCCCGGAGCGGGCGCGGTAGGCGGCGAGCGGCGCGGAGCGAGCTGCGAGTTGCCACTCAGGTCGAGCTTGAGTAGCTGCGTGAGGTCGCCAATCGGCCAATGGCGGATGGAACCACGACGGAGCTCAACATCACGTCGGCGAACATGTTGCCGTTGAGGAATATCTCAGCCAAGGTGTTGCAGTTGGTCAGGTTGTCCAAGAACTCCCAGGCGCCGCCATCATCGGTCGGCGTACGGCTCCGACGAGATGGACGCCCCGCTCCTGTGAAGCCTCCCCTCCCTGGGGCGGGGGCTCCTCTCATCGTCTCCCACGCCCGCGCGGATGCTCTCCGCGGCAACGTCCGACGCCCTCGTCAAGATCAAGCCAGGCGAGATAAGCATGGTCTCCGGCATCCCCAAGGAGCACCTCCGCCGCAAAGTGCTTCTTTGGACTTACTCTGATTTATGTAGTGTCGATAGATTCGCTAGCCCTCGCAGATCCGTGTGGGAATCGCTCGAGATGTCTTGGTTTGGTGGGTTCCTTTGGTTGTTACTCGGGTTAGGGATAGAGCCTGGAGGTGTCGAGTCGTGAACTTGTTGGAATTAATAGATGGGCTAAGGCTCATTCGAAGATTAATTCTTTGGAAAATCACAAAAGCCCACCTCATGGGATGGCATGCATGTGGAGTTTAGTACCACCTTGCTTATTCTAGGAGAGGGGGACCTCCTTAAAAGGGAGGATGCCCTCCTAGCCACTTAAAGCATGTGTGGTGGAGAGAAGAGGGGAAACACACGCGCGCGCTCGCTGGCCTGGCCTGGCAGGGCAGGCGGCGCACGTGCACGACGTACGCGTCGAATGGTCCGCAAAATTGGCTCCTCACCCTTGTGCAGATGCAGCCTCCTTTTGCAGTTTTGTTTTGCTGCGGGATTCGGATTTGTTTTGTTTTGGAAACATTCCAAAAAATCCGGTGTGTGAAAACGGCATGGAATCCGGATAGGTTACGCGTGACTTATCCGGTTCGGTTTACGCGGACGCCCTGATCAGGCGATCTATCTCTATATAAACCGAGCCGCTGCCTTCACGCAACACACGCGAAATCAATCTAGGGTTTGCCTCCTACTCTGTACTGCGCCGTCGCTCGTAGACTACTCCATCCCGCTCGCCGGCGTGCACCGGCAATCGGGAGAGCAGGTCTCCGGAACCTCTGCCTTCGATGTCCTGCACCGGGAGAAGGTAGCAATAAGGTTTTTGGGAAGCGCTTCGCGCGACTGCTCCCTGTTCGTTCGCGACGGCTCGTCTTCCTCTTCGCTCGCGTGCTTCGCGCCTTCGTAGACGCTCGCAACTGCGAGTAGTTCCTGCCGAGCAACCGGTCTTTCCGCCACCTCGGTATGTGTTCAACATGTTGCGCATATTTGATCTGTTCAGGTTTTACTGCTTAGTTTACATGTGTAGATCTAATGATGCGTTCAATCTAGTTTACATCTGCAATGTCATGATTTATTTATGGAATAAATTAAATCATTATGTGCTTATA